GGAAAAGTTAGAAAGGCTAGTGACAACTATATCCTGACATATGACATTGCTGGATACTATGATACTGTCTGACAGACAATCAGTTTAGGCTTCTCTCCAGTGTAGTGATCAGTCTGCTGACAGATTACAGCCACAACGTCTCCTTAATAATATTGCGGCTCCACTGCTTTCACACCACACGCTACGTTTAACGTTGTACCACACACTGACTACTATAATCAATGTAAGCTTAAACTGACTCCCTACATTGATTTTTATTAAAATATAAATAACAAAAATAAATATTTCAGCAGTTTTCATCCAGCAAAGTATTTGTTTACCTATACAGTCCTCTGAAAGTGCAGAAATGTATTTCTGGAGGGTTTTCCGTAGAATTAGTTATTTACTCACCGAAAATACTTCCCGTGTAGCCAATAGCTAAAATTATAATATAATGTGATCTAAAATGTCCCAAATGAGAATATATGGTCAGCTTAATCATCAGATATTTTTTCCTAGAATTATTACAGTAAATGTGCAAAACAATTATTTGCATTAACCACAATTTTTTCATTATACAAAACAACATATCACTTTCTCTCAGGACCCTCAAATGCCTATTTTCCCTGTTTAATTTAACAAGACATTCACTTCTGTTATGTACCTTGTCGGACAAACATTTATTATAGATCTTCTGTAAAGCACAGAAACACTTTTCAACTAATCTAAATGCAACCATGTTTGTCATCAATGGTATTATAAGAAACAAATAGCATGTAACCAGTCGGGTGCACGGCGTTCATTTAGAACCCTTTGGTATGTTGGTACTGCAAGTATCCCTTCGGGCCATTTAATAAAGGACTCGAATACTCAATCAGACTCATGTTGTCGCAAACACGTGAAATTCACTTCTGACAGATAATCAGTCGTAGTTGCTCATGTGTAATCTGGTAGATGATCACCATAGGACTTAGCAACACTGACGTTTATGATCTTTGCAATCCCAGCCCAAAGGGCTGCTGTCTTCATCTTGATACATGAAAACTGATAACACTTCTGACTTCTAACAAATGTTCATCTTTCAGAAAATTGTACGATGATAGAGTACAGTTTACTTTAATTCACCACATCCCATAATTTGTGGGAATGCTTTTACATGGTTGTTTACTACAGTATATTGTAGCCCAAATGAGAATCTTACACTGGACTTGATTTAATGTTTGGCTTTGCAGCCAAAATTATCTGTATGGTAGGCCTATGTTCATTTTCGAAAGCACACCCACATTTTTATTTATATATATATATATATTAGCGAATTTCCCTATAGGGAAGTAGCTATTACCGTAGGTCTCATGGTAAGACTTAGGCCCGGGACCGATTTACATTTTCATTTTGATGTCCCCAGAGGCCAAAAACACCACTCGTTCAAATTTTTATATATGTATATATATATATATATATATATATATATATATATATATATATGTGTCCGTGAACACAATAACTTGAGTAATTTTTATCCGATTTTGATGAAATTTGGTTTGAAGGTGTAAGGCGGGATAAACTTGAATGAGTTCGCGATTCAGAATGATCGGACCATGGGAACAGGGTTTTATGGGGGGTTTTATGGGGTTAAAATTGGTTTTTCTCACTCTTGACCCTCAAAACACAAAATTTCCCAATTTTTCTCTAAACCTTCTTAAAGAGTTTAAAAAAACAAACAATTCAGTATATCAAAGTGTTTTTGTACGGTTATTGGTTACGGAGAAAACTAAAAAAATGGTAAATTCAAAATTCCCATGTTATTCTTATGGAGAATATTGTAAAATGTTGTAGTTTGCTTGTTTATGGATATCTTTTGATCAAACTTGGCAAATATATTCATTTTATACTAAGCAATAATTATTTTACTTAAAACACACACTTTATTAGTTTCCTTGTAGCAGCAAACCTAGGTACTCGTTAAACCTAATGTTATTTAAATAGATCAATTGAAAATCAATTCAGCCAAATGGAAATTTGCTTAGGCGTCAGGTTTGCTGCGGCGGGGGTATTTTACATATATATTGAGAATATGATCCTCAACCCAGCATAATATGATATAGCTTATTAGGTACTGAAATTTAACTTGGAATTCTTCTGATACACACAATAGTTTTTTTGTCGTGACACAATTTTAAATTTTTATATAAACATAACCAGATAATTTATAAACCTACAGTAGTTTATAGTAGCATTACACAAATTGTTAATACCCAAGCTTTAATTTATTAAACCTGAATTTAAGCTGCATATACATATTACAGTACTACAATGTGACATTTTCCCCTTAAACACCCCTTTCTTTAATGCCTGTTAAATATGAAAAAATGTTTATAGTCTCTTAAATCAACCTTTTATGTCGAATTTATCAACTAAAACATTTATTCATTTTAAGTTGAGTTTATTAAGGAAAGTGTGAAGACGTAATTTTATACAAAGTCTCTTTAGAAATTCCACTCAGATTCAGGAATTTCAACAATAATGTTGGTTGTTAAGATGGAAGCAAAAGGCGCGGAGATGTCTGGTGAAAAACTTGTCGCCAAGTTCATGACGATGTCAACGAAAGCCTCATTAAGAAGTTGTGGTGGGAAATCAACTTAACTCTTTAGTAATGATTCAATCAAAGCACCAGTGATTTTTGTATGTAATCAACAATTAGCCAGGTCTAAGTTAAATGCTTTGTTATATAAATTAATTTGATTTAACTTTAGATTATGGTTTAAACTTCTAATGAATGTGTTAACTTTGAAATAGATGCATTTAGAGGATTTATATATTTGATTTTGAATGTACTGAGTTTAGTTTTTGGGCATGATTAACCTACAGTTTTAAGAACTGATGAACAATTAATGTGGGTAATTTTTAAGTTTGAATATCATAGTGTGCGAAGGTGTAATTTATTTTTTTGACATAAAAAAGATTGTATATTCATATGAGTTTCAAAAACAGTAGTAACTTTTTGAACCTTGTTTGGGGAAAATCTGCCAAGAATTGGTATTTTAATATTGTGCTTTTAATTGGGTTTGATTCAATAACCATGTGTTAACAATTCTTAGTTACAAACTTTCATTAGAGCAATTAACTATTTAATATAATCTAGGTAATAAGAACTGGAAGTACATAAAAATACCTTTTCATTCAATTTTGTCTCATGTCCTGACTAAGTCTAAATCTTTATACTTTCTATATTGTAATATTCCATTTACTATATTTCTTATGTTATTTTGGTTTATGAGGAAATATAACAACCATAAATAACATTTGTGTATAAATCTCAGTCTTTTTACTCAGGTGATAAATTCATTAAGATATCAAATTAAGCTTTTACATAATTTTTATTGCGCTTGACTCAATTTCTTTTCAGATAATGTGTTAAAATTTAAATCAATATACTATTAGCTCCATCTTGTAACCATTCCTCAGATGACTAAATAAATGTCATAAGCAATAATAATTTTTGTGTTAAAAAAACCATATTTAGTCATCTAATGAATGGATAAAGGTGGAGCTTATATTATGTTGATTTAAAATTGTAACAAATTTTTTGAAAATGAATAAAGTTCAGCTGGCTTACCCGAGAAAATCAGAGTACAGAAGCTAATAGATGCACAACCTCATTGGTCCCTTACCCGTGTTGTTACAAGTAAAACTAAGCTGTTATGAAAGTAAACAATGCTGTTATGAGAAACTTTTCAATTTTAAGAACTGAACTGAAACGGCTTCTTTAAAAAATGGTTGTAGGTAAAATATATAACAGTGGTTCAACATCCTCAATGCAGTTTGATTTTTAGACATTGTTTTGACTATACAATAATTATACTTTAAACTGTCTGTATTATTTTTAAAGCTATATGTACTGATTGTATATTTCTCAATTTACATGAGTTCCATATTTTCCATAACATGGGAACGATTAATGCTACATTCAGCAAATAAATAATCTTCTTTTGTCAAACACAAACCTAGGTATGCTACACAGCATAAACTTACCAAGCTTCCACTAATCCTCCTGGCTGTTAAGCCTTATACAAATGCTCTTCCCTCAACTGGTAATCTCTCAGACTGGATCTTAAACTTGTCTTGCCATGTTTGAATGGGGTTTATAAATATTGTGGATCATGGATTGTATTATTTTACTCACACCTGAGAAAGTATATCACTATGGATATATAGCTTATTACTAATTCAGTAGCAAGAACAATATTAAACTCCAAGTTATATTTGAAATGTGTCCAAAATTGAAAAAATTAAAAACTCCGCCTTTTACATTTACTTCCTAAAGTTTTAACGACTACCGTTGAATTAGAGGAAATGGAATGATTTAGTATAAATCTTGTTTATACACATATTTTGATTTGTTTTAGTTTTTATATCATCTGTAGACCAGTTTCTTACTAAGAAAAATATTCTAGTATCATTAATATTTTATCTCAAGTATAGGCTTCAATCAGTGATAGAAACTAAATCTACAAGTCATGACTCATCATCTGCTGGATTCGCTATCAGTAAATCATTATTTTTGTTCATAATTGTATCTAATTGTTTTCCTGTACTGTTTCTCTAAAAAGTGCCAAATCAATGTAGACTCTTCACTTAGCAGTGATAAATAGGAATTTTCACTAGCTTGGTGTTCTGCTTGAAAATAAACTTAACTTATAAAAATAAATAAAGTTTCGACACTAGTGATATACTGTCGTGAAAAAAAAAACAAAAAACAGGATCATTTGACAGTGCTACAGGCAATTTTAACACTATCTTTTTTTAAACCTGATTCAGAGGCTACAAATATTTGAATTCATTAGTCCATAGCAATAATTTATTTTCACAATGTTTACGGACCGAACAAAGATGAGAAACAGGACTTGCAATGTGTGTTTCAGTTGGGTGTGATGGACTTGCAATGTATGTTTCAGTTGTATTTGATGGACTTGCAATGTGTGTTTAAGTTGGGTGTGATGGACTTGCAATGTGTGTTTCAGTTGGGTGTGATGGACTTGTTGAGTCTAGAGCAAGAGGTGGGTGCTTGGGACTCAGTACTGCTAGACCCCCTCACTGAGGACTCCTTCATAGCCAATCTGCACCAGAGGTTCAAGAGAGACCATATCTATGTGAGTACTGTAGCTACAATGGTCTACAATGGTAGCTGTTCTGGTAGCACCTACAGTAGAATATCTCATAGTCAATGTACGATGCTTTATATGCGCTTGTATTTTTTCACTACATTGGTATTTTCTTTATAAGAGATCGGTCCAAACCCTTGTCTTCTTACTATCAAACATCGACCTTTTCTTAGGCAGCGTCATTAATCAATAGCCCAATAAATGCTGGGAATCGAACCAGCGACTTTCAGTTTTAAAGTCGAGCACTATATAATCATCCGCACCCCAGAAAATTCCAGGAAGCTTCCCGAAATAAAAAATTATAATGCGTTTATGACTTATATAACAGCAGACAAAAAAAAATCACTTCAATTATCATGGTCCATCTGTTTCAAGTGTAGAATAGGCTTGTGGATATCATAAACTGTTCAAACTGGAATCGACAATTTAATTAGCAATTTAAAGTAATTTTCCTCGTAATAAAACTGATTATTTAATGTTAAACATGTTTTTATTGTGGTTCCTATTTGAGGGAAACAACATGAGAGCGGGTAAGGCCCCTGGGACCAGATAAGCTGGCTGTAAATTATTATAAAGCTATCCTCATTCACACCCACTGCAAGTAAACTCATCAGATCTTGTGGGTTTGTGCTAAAATAATAATGATATATAAATTGATAAATTTCAACAAAATCAAATTATTCTAATTGGATCCACATGATCTTAAACAGATACGTTCTAAGTAAAATTATGTAATTTAAATAGGTCCTTCAAAATTGTGGTTAACTTTCCCACACTGACTATATCTTTTATATAAAATATAGGTTTTGAAATACATAATGTTTATGATCAACTGTTAATAGGTTATAGTGAGGTCAGGATGGGACGTGTTGCTAGCTCCTCCATGATTGTTTGAGTGTTGATTTTTGTGCAAAGATGCATTTTATTTTATCCCAGTCTAGTTGTTGATATGTTAATATCAAACTAGTATCCAGGCTAACATTAATTTTTACGCAAAAATTGTGTTGTTGGATAAATTAGATTGTATCACTCACACATACTGTTGAATAATGGCATGTTATCATTCAACCATAGTGTTGGATAAATTTGATTGTACCTCTTATATTGTCGGATCAATCGGATCAATTTACTCACAGTTTTTATGATGGTGCTGAGCAAGATAAAAAGTTGCATTAACTGTTAACATTAGCTCAATGCAAATTTGATCTCATCACACCTCAAATTTGACTTCATTGAATGGCCTTGAGTCTGTTTGAACAGTCTAAGTAAGAAAAGTTTTAATATGTTCATAAGTTGGTAAATAGTTCCTAAATAGCTAAAAATTACCAGCTTACTAAAGCAGACATGTTATATGTTTTGAAAACACTGCTGTTCATTGATTACTGACACAATTCCTGTACTCCAAGTTTCAATCAGACCAACAAGTCATCAACAAAGTTAAAGTTGGGGAGAACCAGAAACCGTGGAACTTGTCTCCTCTGCTTGCTGTAATGTTTAATGAGATTTCCTCTCTCATTCCTTGTGCACATTTATGGATTGTTATGAATGCAAATCACCAATCAGTTCTTATTTAAATCAAAACTTTTAATTTTTATTTTAAATTAAAATAAACTATAAGTAGGCCTAATATAAAGATGTTCCTATATTTGAAAATCACTGTTCAATACAAACTGAGGTACAAATTTGTTGTGGAGGTCTTATGAGAAATTTTGATAAATAATTGTAAGAATAGTTTGATTATGTTTGTTAGGTCTATAGCTATAATTTCTCTTGCAATACTATGAATTTCTCTTAACAGTTTGTACCACAGCCTCCATATATAGCTCAGTAGCAACACATTTATTTGTTAAACTTAAGACCTTAATTAAAAAAATTAGGGAGAAAAATATATTTTGGTAATATTGTATAAACATAAAGCTAGTAGCTGAGTGCTGACCTAGTAATCAAAAGGTCGCCGGTTTGATCCTGATAAAAGTTAGTAGCTCTTTGATTATTTGAAACTGGACCCAGCTGTTCTTGATCATTAGGCTTTTAATAAATTGTCCTGGCTAATGAATCAGCTGGTGGTGTAAGTAACAATGCTACACAAGACATCTAACAATATAATATAAATACAAATAAATAAAAAATACAAATAATATAGACAATATACTAATACAACTATTTTCCAAATTGTGTGCAACATATCAATCAATCAACCAAAATATCCTTTATTCATGTAAGTACAAGGTACAGGAATAGAGTCATATCTTACAAAATAAAATGTTTTACATTGAACTAAAAATAAGACAGAATATTTATTTTATTTGTTCTACCAAAACTCTTCAAGAGAATAAGGGGCAATTTTAATCAAATACTGTTTCATATATTCATATATTCATGTATTCATATATACATATATTCATTTATGAACAGTACCTATAAAAGAAACTGGACAAGAATGTATAAAGTACATTATTAAAAATTTAAATGTGACCAAAATCTTAAATTGTGTTGATGACTAGTAAGATAAACTTTATTAGTAAATTGTTATTTGGGAACACAAATCTTGGATCTCATGAGACTCATACCTTGACACAAACTAAAGATCTCACTTGCTCTTAGTACACCTCGGAGCCCTCATGCCGATCTAATTATTATAACAAGGTAAAATCTAAGAGAACGTTGGGAAACCTGTGGATGTTAGTGAAATTTTTAATAAAGCAGGAAGAAGCATCGTTGTGGTGTGAGATGGAAATATTCAGCCCTGTATGAATTAGAGATGAAGCCCCCAACAAAGGGTATTTCCATTTATATGAGTCCAAAACATAATTGAACGGCTGAGCTTAACCGTGTGAACAGGTAGGATCTTTTTAAACACATCACCTCATCTGAAACACAATAATGGCCTACATCAAAAATTGTTTTTGCTGAATTATTTAACTCTTGTTTTAAAAACCTGCCCCAAAACACTGTACGATGTGAGAAAATGATTTTAGAACTGTATGCTACTCAATATGTAAAACACACTCTTAAATAAAAAAAAACCTGATATAACTTTTTGATTTTTAACTTTTTTAACTTCTGGAAAATCATTATTTTTCAAGCTCTAATGCTTAGAATGGAATAAATTTGCTTAAACCTTGTGACAACTATGATTATTGTATTTTGTGTTGCTTCAACAATGGATTGTATTGTAAAAAAAATGTTCCAACTCATATCATTTTATTTAATTATCATACAATCATGACGCCATCGTAATTTCTTGACGAAACTACAAATAAAGATTTTTATTTGATCAAACATTTTACAGACACCCCCAAAGAGCCAAATATTAAAAATGAGATGTATCTTTGGTATGTTAAAGACATTTAAACATTGATATAACCAGGATTTATTGATGAGGACTGGCAATGTTTCATGAACATTTATCACCAAAACAGTTTCTGGTAAAACTAAACTAAATATGTTTTAACTCAGGTATGAACATTTTCCTTTCATTTTTTAGGTTTTACATTATTTTAAATTGTAAAATAGTTTTTTTTATAATAACAGAATATGATTTTTAAATAGGATCAGACTTCCCTACTTTTAGTTTTACTTATTAACCATGTTGCAATTACAATTGCTTATAATTTTTAAACTTGAAGAGGTTTCGCTGGCTAACATTAATCAATGTGATGAAAGCATTTACGACGAGAAGACAAAGCAGCTGATCTAAGGATGGTGGCAGGATTACACACTCTTAGTGGCCTCTAGGGCTACTTACGGCTATTGTTCCGTAAGCCTTCTGATGCCCTATATCAGCTGCTTATGCTTGCCAGTTTCTACTTAAACACCTGCCCGCAATAGCAAACTGTCTGTTTAATTTCAAAGATATTAAAGGTTCGATAAAAATAAGATTTAATTATTGTGGTTTAGTTATTGTTTTTTAGTTATAATTGTATTGAATTCTTTCTAAAAATGCAGATTGTATTTGACACAATATGTCTATATACTGTAACCAGGTGAAGGAGTGCTGTTTTGTATTGTACTTTACCCTCCTGAAGAAGCTCCTTGCAGAGGCGAAATATCAAGTTTATTGTGTTAGTTTTCTATCCATATCAAATCAAATCAAATCAAATGATCCTTTATTCATTTAGTATACAATATACATAAATAGCGTCAATACAATAATCGTGATAAAACAAATATCTTAAAACTAATGTACAAGAGTCAGTGGAAAAAATCTTTTACCTTATAACAGCATTTACTACATAAAAACTTAAACAACTGTTTCTTAAACGACTTAAGGGAAGCTGCAGATTTAATCGAATCAGGCAGGTTATTGTAAAACTTAACACCAGAGTAGTGGGGAGAAGATTCTAAAGTTGAGGATTTATGTTTAGGGTATAAAAGGCAGCTTTTGTGTCGGGTATTATAATTATGATTGTCCGAATTAACAGAAAATTTAGAAATATTTTGTTTCATAAAAATTAATAAATTGTAGATATACAGACTGGGAAAAGTAAGGATATTATTGTTTTTAAATGTATTTTTACAAGAACCCCTAGCTTTAATAGAATGAATTGTTCTAATTATTCTTTTTTGCAATTTAAAAACTTTTTTATTTTTGTCGGAATTTCCCCAAAAAATAATTCCGTAATTGAGAATAGGATAAACATAGCCATAGTATACCATCATAAGAGTAGAAATATCAACTGATCTAGAAAGAATGAGAGTTACAAAATATGCTTTATTTAACTTTTTGATGACGTCTGTTATGTGAGTTTTCCAGGTTAATTTATGATCTACTGTTATTCCTAAAAATTTGGTGGAGTTGGCAAGGTTGCAAGATAGAGTGGTGTTTTCGTGAGAAAAATTGTTATTAAAATAATTTTTTTTAAAGTTCATTAAAAGAGACTTGGATTGATTTAGTAAAAGTCCATTAGCTTGAAACCAACTTTCCAGCTTTTGGAATTCTTGTTTGATAAGCTGTGGAAACATTAATTTATCTGGATGGGTGAAGATAGCAGAAGTATCGTCAGCAAACATAACCAATTTAGAATTTAAGGTCATGGGCAAGTCATTGACATAAACCAGGAAGAGTAAGGGTCCAAGAATGGACCCTTGAGGTACACCATCTGTGATTAATCTATAATCAGATTTAATTCCCAGTGACTGCAAATTTATACACTGTTTTCTGTTGGATAGAAATGAAACCAACCATTTACTGGTCCTGCCCGATATACCATAAAACTGCAACTTCCGAATCAGTATATTATGGTTTACACAGTCGAACGCTCTTGACAGGTCACAGAAGAGACCAGATACATTCTGCGACTTGTCAAGAGCATCCGCAACCTCAGATACAAAACTAAATATGGCATCTACAGTGCTTTTACCCCTTCTAAACCCATACTGATTCATGTTGAAGAGTTGACATTTATCAAGGTAATCATACAACCTATTAAAAACTATCTTTTCAAAAATTTTTGAGAATGTCGGCAGTAATGAAATGGGCCTATAATTAGTTAGTTCTTTTGGATTGCCTTTTTTTATAACTGGTATCACGTTTGAGAGCTTTAATACATCCGGAAACACACCTGTATAGAGTGAAGTGTTGATTAAATGAGCAAGTGGGATTGAAATAAAAGATGAACATTGTTTTATGATGAAGGGTGATATTTCATCCCAGCCACACGATTTGGAAGGTTTTAATTCGTTAATTATTTGCTGAATTTCTTGAGGATCTGTAGTTTTGAAAGATATTAACATGGAATTAGGTCGGACCCCTTGTTGTAAAAAATTTATTGAGCTTTCATGATCAGAATTAACATTTAGAAGTTTGCAAGTTTCTGTAAAGAATTTGTTAACATAATTTAACTGATTTTTGATGTTAACGGATTCGGATAAAAATGGAAATTTGTCTATTTTACTCGCGGAAGTATTTGTTTCTGTTTTTACAATTTGCCAAGCAGTTTTAGTCTTGTTGAACGATTTTTATTATGTAATATTTTAGCAGTTCTTATACATTTACTGAGCACTTTGCTGTACTTTTTAACATAGTTTTTAAAATGCAGATTTGTGGATTGTTTGCTGAGCTCAAAAAGTTCCCGTTTATGTTTACTAGATCTTTTTATCCCACTTGTAAGCCAACCTTTATCTTTATTCCGGTTAAGACTATTTTTAGCCTTAACTAATGGAAAAGACGCATTAAAATGTAGTTTAAAAATATGTAAAAAACACTTATAAATAGTATTTGCATCAGATGTTACATTTAATTTCTGAAAGAAGTAAGACCAATCCTCCGATTTTAAAGAATTTACAAAATTGGAGATATTAACCTTAGAAAAATGTCTTACGTATATTGTTTTTTTATTAACCACAGTTTCTGTATGTTTCTTAGTAAAATATTCACAATTCACTTGAAGATATTGAGTTAAGTGATCAGATAAACCATTTTGTACCACAGAAGGCAAACATAAATTAGGTTTAAAATTTGTTATAATATTATCAATACATGTACTAGAAACATTTGAAACCCGAGTGGGTACCTTTATAGTTGTAAAAAGATTGAATGAATTTAATATTGAAAGAAACTCTTCAGATTGAGAACTATTTTTCAAAATATCAATGTTAAAATCTCCTGTAAGTATAAAAAAGGATTTAGGATTCTTAAGAATAGAATATTGTAAAAGTGAACGCAAGCTAGAAAAAAAAAAATCATATGCAATTTTGGTGTACACGGTAGGTCTGTAGACACAAAGCACAATTAAATCAAGAGGGTGCGTGATCTGAGCACCACAACACTCAAAATAAGAGTCAACCGTAAAGTTTCCAAGATCCGCTCTTAATTTAATACTGTAATTATTATTCACCAATACACAAACCCCACCTTCCTTTCCCATTCCTTCTTCCTTAATGTAATTCTAAGGCGACTGTTTTTTTCCTAAAAAAACTTTCCTCCAAATCTGAAGAGCATAGTATTATTTTTTATGAATATAGGGAATGCCATTCAATGTGTATTTACGTATATTATTCGAATAACGTTCATCTTTTACCTTAACATAAATAATTCTTACTTTTCAAGGATAGCAGTTATGGTAGTGGATAACGCAAAACCCACACAATACTAGGTTTGTTTGTGTGGCGCTTGACTGCTCGTTGTTGGTTGTTGTTGTTAGGGCTAACACTCGCCTGGCTCATCTCTGACCTGTAAAATAACATCACCTGTTAAACACTGAAATGAATTTCATTCCATTACATAATGTAAATACTTTATTTCTACCAAAAATATCTTTTAATGACTGTTTTATTAACAGTGTTTGAGAAAAAGGTGTTTGTTTCATCCACTTTCAAATAAAATTTATTTCAAACTGTATTATAGCTTTTGTTATAGCTTAATGTTTACCTTACTTTGCTTCTCTATGAGATAAACCTCTAAAAACTGCAAATATTATGTTTACCACGATTAAAATATTAATCCATTCCACAAATATTGTGATTTCGTCATTTCATGATTTTTGTTTCAGACATACATAGGTAACGTGCTGGTTTCCATCAATCCGTACAAGAAGTTAGCCATCTACTCCAACAGTTTGGCTCAAGAGTACAGAACTAGGGGTCCATTTCAACTACCACCCCACATGTAAGTAAAGTACATTTTGTTATGTATTGTAGTTTCTACTATATATATTCTATAAATAAAAAATATTGTTTTCAACAAGTAATGAAATGATTATCAGAAATGAATTTGTACTATATTTCCTTCCTCTCAGCCATAAACCTCTTAAAGGCTGAGGACTAGGTTTCCATGATCTCAAGCGTCAAACAGTGCACATCTCCGCTTATGCGTCGGCCTACACTAAGACATCCCGAATCCAACTTTTTAGGCTTAGAGGGTATCAAAACAAAAATGTGGACTAAAAAAACTCTACCTTTAACATAAAAAAAAGTTATACTTTCCCATGTATATTTGGGTAAAATGAAGAAAAAACTGAATAAGGTCGATAAAGTAATTTTGATTCTTTTAAGGTCAATAATCCCTATTACTTATTCGAGTGGTTTGTGGTAAAATCATCAATATATACATTACATATTCTAATGTGGGCTCTCCTTCAGATTTTTTTACTGGAATATAGTTTGTAGTAAGTTTTTTTTAGCTAGGACTGTGAAGGTCGTCCAATAATTAAAAATGTAGCACTAACATATTTAAAAATTTATCTTTTATAGTAAGGCCTAACTCTTAAGAAAAAATGTTTTTTTATATTTCATCATAATTATAAATTAGTTTCCATTACTAGATTCATGAAATAGATAGTGATTTCAGGGTATTGAGATAACATATTTTGAACAGGCATTTGTTCCTAATTTCACTTAGGCTTTAATACTTATAGTTGTATATATTTTACTATCAAACTAATATAATACTTAAGTTAGTTTCTTTGTATTTTTATATTTAATAATAATACATATCTCAATATTCAAAATAAATAATCGCATTCATTTTTATTAAAACTGTTTAAACTATCTTTTTTTAAATGCATGATTTGATCAAAACTCCAATACCTATACACACAAACACATTTTGCACCTTTTACATTTTCAAAACTGATTTATTTAAAGTATTTAATAATTGCAGCTCTAAAAATACTGATATCAGGTAATATCATGGCATAACAGAGGTAAAAACATACTATTAAGTGATACAATTGGAAGTAACCCCAACAAATCATCTGTTATTGGACAAGATATTCCCAGAGATTATGAGCTCTTCTCAGCCAAGCTGAGACCTAATCCCCCCCATGGAGATTATAGTGCTTATCTCCACTCACTCCCTTCTAATATTGATAATGACACTATTTTATCTCTTGAGTATCATCAATTGCTTCAGGTTAATGTTATCAAATGTTTTAACATATTTTGTGTCATATTTAACATTGTGTCAATTTTATCCTTGAACAGTGTTTATTTTCTTTTATAATTTGTATGTTTAATCTGATTAAAAGAGCTTTAATAAATAAATCGGATGAACCTCCATACCTTCCCCTAATACTGAACTATATAAATTTATCTTTTGTGTTTCATGAATTTATTCAGATTGATGTAATAAAACGTGATAGGACATTATGTTTCAGATTTTTGTAAATTTGTTAACTCTTCTAAATAAACTTGTGGACCCAATTACACAATTATACCATTTAAAGTCCTCAAATGCAAACAGAATACACTGATAAAACCTAATGATAAAAGATGTTTGAATACCTTTTTAACTACATGCTCTAAAATTGTAATGTTTTTAAAACTACGGAGTAAATAAATTATTAATGAAAAAATTAGAATCAAGTTTTCACCATGAAACTATTTGATTAAACATTAAATTATTGTTAGGAATTAATATTATGTTTTCTCAAATCAATGTTATAGGATTCTATTTTATATTCATTATTTAAGGCTTTCATGTACTGGGCTGTTTAATGATTACTAAAAAATAAAAATTTCAACTGAATGAATAAGACCAACCATAACTACAATACATCCCAAAAATTCATTTTAGAAATAAAAATTAACAGACCATAAAAAAATTGTCTCTGCCGGACAAAAGTTCTTGAGATTCTCCCTTCAAAACTGAACATGGAAGGAAATTTATGATATTTTTAATGCATGAGTGAAGAAATACTCAGTAGATTTGTCCTTATACTCCTTAGATGAATTAAAAATTGTTATATCTTAACTCAAGCTTTATTTTTACTTACTTATATACTTAATAATAAATAATAATAATTCTTGACTATAACTATGACTATAGTAACCTAAAATTAACCAAACAAGCTCGCTGTATGGAAAAGTCACCCCTCGAGACTGCTAGATATTAATAATCCGACTGAATCAGTCGTGACTCATGATTGGTTTGGTATTACGACTGCGGTTAGTTGGCTCTTCACGCTTCACCTACGGTCATACATTGGTTATTACTTTTCACCTCCCAATATTACATTTTTCAGTAAATTTACAAAGTGAAAAATCTAATTTCTGAATTTTTGTTATATCAAAATTATATGATAACACAAACTTATTGTTACTGATCAAAAATGTAGGAATAACCAATACATTTTTAACATAATACAAACAGCTCTGTGCAAAGATTGAAAATATAAAGAAAATATGCAAAGATTGGAAAGTTCTTCTGATAGGCCTATCAAGTGAACTGATTCAAATGATATGCAATAATATACTGCAGTGATCTTTGTGCATTGCAAACAATTATATTAAACTTGGACGTTTATAAAATACACTAGCACATTGGTGTCCAAGATAATCCACATAGAGTAGTTACAACTAAAATTAAGTACAATAGCACTTTTTTCTTCAGATTCAAGCAAATGTTCTTTGACAACACTAATCACATTTAAAGAAGTTCTTAACTATTCTTAACTTGGACGTTTATAAAATACACTAGCACATTGGTGTCCAAGATAATCCACATAGAGTAGTTACAACTAAAATTAAGTACAATAGCACTTTTTTCTTCAGATTCAAGCAAATGTTCTTTGACAACACTAATCACATTTAAAGAAGTTCTTAACTATTGTCTTGCTTTTTTTCTAATGCCCACAAAACCTTATTTTTTAATTATTTATGACTTTCTGGAACATAAAATTACTTGATAGGGATATAAATAAATAATACATCAAAACTAAATAGTAATTAAAATGTATAAAGAGCTTTTCATGTAGGTAAATCTAACCTCTGACATATTTCAGGTGAAACTCGTCTCTTTAAAAATTAAAGCCGCAAAACGAAGTGAGCCATTTAACACAAGCAGTAATAATAAATGAGAGGCAGAAAAGCTTGGTAGCGACATACAGTCTCACAACATGAATAGTCAATGATTGATTCCCACAATTCATCTCCCATCCCATCACAACTGACCATGTGGCTTTTAACTTGCTTTTTATTGGTTTGTACATTTAACTGAAGTGTGGTCTATTCTTCAAAGCATTAATGTTCAATGTTAGATTGAAATACTGTATTTTCATTTCTTTGGAAGATAAGAATTTAAAATAAAAATTAGTCCCAAAGATGAGATATTTGATTTTTGATAATATTTTAGTGACTTTTTATATTAAATAAGCTGTTTTCCAACATCATAAAGTCCAGTAGAGAGGACTTTTTGACAACAGTTACTCCAAAAGATTATTGAATTGGAAAATTAAAATAAAGAGGGATATTTTTAGGTTTATTGAAAGAGATCCGAGTCTTCTGAACCCTGTTGTATCAAGGGAAATAAATAGAACCAACATTCTATTTTTTTTTCACATTTAAAAATCCTTAACATGATTTAGACAATTTTCCCCCAATGGAAACCCCCATGAGACATAAATCTTTAACATTTCATATGTTGTTAGATATCTCTCCAGTTATAGTTGGTATATGAATGGAAATTGTGTCAAAATAATTCTCTTCATGATCCTTTTAAGCCTAAACAAACAAATGAGGTTATAGTTTTGTGACCAACATGGCTAACAATATTTTGCCAAGTGTTCACAGTCAAGAAGGTTTTGCCTAATTTGTAAGTAGAAAATCTTTTACTACTAATGCGTGAATTCATTTTAATATAAAGTTATGAATGACCCTTCAGGGGGTGATAAAATGAAGTTATATGAACGCCCATGAGCATAAGTCTTACTAAGCCCTTGGTCCTGTTAATGTAATAAATAGTTCTCGTTTTCATGAATTATACCTGTAAATTAGAATCTTTTTACAATTCTACGAAATTGTGTTCTAAAGATTTTATATTTGGTATATTCAAGGAACATGAGTGAATTATTTTTATGTAACAAATTTATTTACCCAACAAATTTTCAAATATATCACGCACATGGTTAGATTGATGGCAATGATCCAGCCACCCCCATGTATTTACCAGTTTTTACAGCTCTATTGTGCATGAATGCATGCACAGGTTAGTTTAATATTTAAACCTCAAACTTATCAAATTTTTTTAATTTCTAAAAGCTTGTTTAAAGTAATTATTTTAAGATATAACATTTGTTGACATTACATATTTTTTATGTTTTACCTAAATTAGTATAAACTAAAATCACATTGATAGGGTCTGCAAGTAGCAAGCACTCAAATGTTTAACCTTAAACAAGCTTACTGGTAACTAATTGTACTCAATAATATTAGATAATATTAATTGTCCTGAGTCGAATGTTTGGTAAGTTACTAACTAATATAATGGCCATTGTGTCATAATATAAAGTTATGTTTACACTTCAAATAGTGTTCATATCTGATTTATATTTTGAAATAAAATTATTATTATATACTTTTCAAGATAAATATACTTATTTTGATTGATAGTGATCTTTTTTTTGAACTTCTTTTAATGAACACACATTCTTACATTCTTTCTTAAATGTAGTTAAAACACTTTCTTTAAATTACTTATAAGTAAGACTCATATTAAGTTTGATAAGAATAAATGTAATTTAGAAAGCCTTGCATAAACATATTCAAGAGTGACTGCATTAAAAAATAGCACAATTCTTGCAACTAGTCACTACTCCAACCCCTACCCATACTCATAGATCGCATCCCGTGAGTAACTAAACTAGCATATTCACCCACCCTATGGTTTCAACTTGGCTGTAGTTCAACAAGTACATTTTTACATCTAACCTCAAGATTAGTATTTATCAAATTACTATCTTTTCTTAAATGCTCTAGGATAAATGTTTAATTTTCTGCTTTCTGCTTACAATTTAATATTCAAAAATTCCATTCCTGAATGGTTTTTTTTAATGTCAGACATTGTCATACTTATAATATTTTATTTTATTGCAGTGCTCTTATGTTCAACTACCTAATTGAGTGTTGAAATTGTTGAGATTTTTTTTAGAGGTTGGCTTTTACTTGCAATGCCAAATGGGCTACAGAGTCATGCGCGTCAAAGTATACAGCAAAGCAAGGGGTGAGCTGGTACAGTACCAGATCAAAAGTAGTGGCAGGTACCAGGATTTGAACCCACAGCATCGGTGCCTTGTGCCTGAAGCACAATCGTCCACAATCACTAGCATAATCGTCCTGTAGAGTGATAAAAAAATGTCCTGTTCTTATGAAGAATTATTACAGCAGCTTCCTTCTGTAGTAATAATGGTTACTTTCATTTTGATTAACTATTATTATGGTTACTGGTTAGATTCTGTTTGGTTCGGACATCAGATTGTTCTAACTGCCACATTAACAATCGAGTCACACAACCTTTTTATCCAACAGTATTCATTAATTACTGTTCAATATTCTCGTATTCCTTTATTTTTATCTAGTCTATAATTATGTAGTTTATTACTTTGCACACCTAATGTGCCAATTCGAAAAGTATACATTCGTTTAACTTTTTCCCATCCTTTATAGTTCAGAAAATGGTTTGGTTTTTTGGGTGTCCGAATGAAAGGGAGTCTACTATTTAGTATTTTTAAAGCCTGTTCGTTTGTGCCTGCAATTAGTATCAGTGCATGGTCATTTCAGTATACCATGCTTGTAATGTTACAGATTTGCTGTAGCAGGATCAGCCTACCGTTGGCTGAGAGATTGTAAACATGATCAGTATGTGGTCATTTCAGTATACCATGCTTGTAATGTTACAGATTTGCTGTAGCAGGATCAGCCTACCGTTGGCTGAGAGATTGTAAACATGATCAGTATGTGGTCATTTCAGTATACCATGCTTGTAATGTTACAGATTTGCTGTAGCAGGATCAGCCTACCGTTGGCTGAGAGATTGTAAACATGATCAGTATGTGGTCATTTCAGTATACCATGCTTGTAATGTTACAGATTTGCTGTAGCAGGATCAGCCTACCGTTGGCTGAGAGATTGTAAACATGATCAGTATGTGGTCATTTCAGTATACCATGCTTGTAATGTTACAGATTTGCTGTAGCAGGATCAGCCTACCGTTGGCTGAGAGATTGTAAACATGATCAGTATGTGGTCATGTCAGTATACCATGCTTGTAATGTTACAGATTTGCTGTAGCAGGATCAGCCTACCGTTGGCTGAGAGATTGTAATCAGGATCAGTGTGTGGTTGTGTCAGTATACCATGCTTGTAATGTTACAGATTTGCTGTAGCAGGATCAGCCTACCGTTGGCTGAGAGATTGTAATCAGGATCAGTGTGTGGTTGTGTCAGGGGAGAGTGGATCAGGAAAAACAGAAGCTGCCAAAATGGTGCTACATTTCATCGCGGTCACGTCATCTGCAGACGATGTAGTTCGAGAAAGACTTATACAGTCTGCCCCATTACTGGAAGGTAAGCATGTTTACACAAGTACCATAATAATAAGTGATCAAGATCCTGTGAATTTTTATCCATGTTTGCAATGAAAGTTTGATAGATTTTGAGTGTCAAGTATTTTTGGTATATCGACCAATTTACGGAATCGGTTTTAACATGTTTGAGTTGTATAATACTGTCATGGCATTTAGGGTGAAATGATCAAACCTTGTAATTGTTAATCAGTGGTTTTTGTCCTATTTGGCTAGAAATTGGTAGGATGAAGATGTTAAGAGTTCTTCAGTCCCAAGACAACACAAAGGAGTGTTTATATCCGGTTGTAAAAAGTTTCAACGCCAAGATGTGAGGACTACCTTTAACAAAATATATGTTATTCTCTAGATAGTCGTTGTATTATCACAGTTTTAATAGAAAGCTGAGTAAGAAGGTGTACTTTTTTATATATGATGCACAAAATGTCATGATATAAAAAAAAACTTAGTTATTTCAATTCCAAATTAATCTCATTGTTCTTGAATTATTGTGGACGGACTCATCAATTTTGATGTTTATTTGTTTTCACGTCCAGTGCCTTTGGATGACTGAAATTAATGTTTAAAATCGTTAGTTATCTTAATTATTCCCTATAAAATGACTGTTTAAATTCGAGCATTCTTTTTCAGAGACTCTGTCTTTAAAATTGTGGTATATTGTTTGGAAGTTGTATGTGAATATTCTCTGTCCAGTTTACTAATAGTTTCAATTGTTTCAGCCTTTGGGAATGCAAAAACTTATAGAAATGACAACTCCTCCAGATTTGTAAGTTAATTCTAATATGATTTAGTATATAAATAATCCAAACATTGTTATTTTATTTTAAGTGTTTCATCTATAGATTAACCTCTAATGACAATTTGTAATATTTCGTTGAAACTAAAAATCCAACAAAATAATTCTGTTCCACCCATCCTAAGGTATTTATCCATTCTTTTATTAGCTTTTAAAAAAAAATGTTTTATAATAGGTTGTCATTTTTTTATGATGTGAGTTTATAATTCAACAAGTGTCACCATAACCCTTACATTTGACAATAAAACATTTGTTCATATAGTAATAAGGATGCATCATATGTATTTATGTCCTTGTCATTTATAAAGTTTATTTTGTACAGGGGAAATACATTGATATCGAGTTTGATTACAAAGGAGACCCTTTAGGTGGAACTATTACAAACTGTAAGTATAATTAACAATAAGATTTTTATTAATAATTATTTTTCACATAGAGACATTGTCATGTCCCTTAATGTACAGAACAGATATGCATCAGCTAATATCTGCAGAAGTATTCATGACTGAGAGGTGCGTGGAAAAGTCAAGACCTCTGCCACATTATACTGTTATGGTATCTGGACATAGTTGTGATAAAACTGTTATTTAAGGGTGATTTGTACTCAGTGTGACAAATTTTTTTTTATGTAAGTACAAAGTAAATGAAGTGTGATGATGCATATCAAATGTTCCAAGTCTCAAATTTAGCGTCCCAAAAAAATATTTTATGTTTTTGAAAAATAACCATGCTTATGCTTTTAAACTTAATACAGCGATTTCTCAATTACCTGTATATGGATTTGAGTAGATAATGTCATTTTCGTGTTCTACATTAAATTTTGAACAAGAATAATGGAAAATGACGGAGGATCAGTTGTAAAAACTCCATTGTAAATAGATTCAAAGATAAAAATTAAGATATTTGATAAAAATTTAAAAACAATGGTCTATTGCATTTTTCACACCCTGTATACAAGAAAGTGTCGGAATATGTTAAAAACTGCGCCATTTTATAAGCTTTCCAACCATATGCTAATGGAGTTTTTACAACTGATCCTCCGTCATTTTCTATTATTCTTGTTCAAAATTTAATGTAGAACACGAAAATGACATTATCTACTCAAATCCATATACAGGTAATTGAGAAATCGCTGTATTTGGTTTAAAAGCATGGTTATTTTTTAAAAACATAAAATAATTTTTTGGGAAGCTAATTTTTAGACTTGGAACATTTAATATGCATCATCACACTTCATTTACTTTGTACTTACACCAAAAAAATTTTGTCACACTGAGTACAAATCACCCTGTAGAAATAACGTTTTGTGAATGAATAAAAAATAAGAATCTCAAGATACCAGTTAAAATACCAACACTCTTTGTAAAAAATACATTGAGGAATATATCAATGTTATAGTAACTAACTATTGGGGTTACTAATGAGCTAATACAGCTTCTCTATGTCATAGGAGTTTTTTTTTCAAGAGAACGGTGTAAACCCTGGTCTTGTTAAAATCTTAAGTCAACCTTTTGTGAAATAACATCATTAATTAGTAGCCCAATGACAAATGACATCTGGTTACTTAAATTTATATTGATTGGAATCCAACCAGCGAGATTTAAATTTGATGGTAAGCACTATTATAAGCAATTGGCTACCAAGACATTACGCTTTTCCTCAATGTCAGTTGTGTACGCAAAGTGTGATTCCCCCCATCTCATTGTCTGCAGAGTCTGGACGCAAAATGGTTTCCCTCGGAATATGTGGCCCAGTTTGTTTTAGTACTCAATAATTTGTTGAAGTATAATAAAACAAATAAATTACGTTCAGTACTATACAAAAAATTCTGCTTCGTTCTGGGTCTGTTTTTTTACAAAAAACCTCTGTGGAACCTCTATAACAAGACTCTTGTTAACAAGTGCTATTCTCAAATCCCTTTGAATTCATTTTACTCCAAATCATATGTTACTTCAAACTTAGATAAGAAGTCAAACTTGATAACAAGTCTTATTTTATAATCCCCATGAGAGTCTTTTTATCAACGTTAATTGTACATAGAAATTGTGTTAGTTTAAACCTTAAAATATGGTAACATTAAATATTCATCTTTCAATTTTGATCAAGGTTGAATCCAATGATCAACATGGTACAATTTTTCTTAAAAGATCCTATTCATAACCATAGCATGTCAATTTTTTAATTTGGTATTGGAGAATATATGTTTTATACACACAAAAAATTGATAGTAAGCCTCTTAAATAGCCTCTCCATAGCTCTCTCTCAAATCTTTTATAGAGTCCAATCCAATAAAAATGCTAGAAACCTAGAAAAATTAATTTTGCAATATACGACTACAAAAAAAGTTTAAGAAATTACATGCATTAGCCTATATTATTTCCCTCACACTTGTAAAATATACTATTGCATTTTTTTACTGTCAAACGTCAGGGTATGCATTTGTGTATTTTTAGCTGTTTTATTGTTTTATGTTTCCAAAACTCTTTAAACAAATATTGTTCTATTTTTTACTGCCTCAGATTTATTGGAAAAAGTAAGTAAAAACGCCACTTATTAGCTAGTTAAGTAACTCTTAATATTCATATAATTTAACGTAAAAAAGTGTGAGTGGACACCATAGCTTTGTGTGCTTTGTCTATTTAAAAATAACACATTATAATCACAAGGTTATGCAACTTCTTAACAACAAATTAAAATTGATACTTCACCACAACAGTTAAATAGTAACAACTTATCTTTATCTAAAACTTATCTAATACAAGAATTAAAGTTAAAATCTTTGTCATGGATTTTACTTATCTTTGTCTGTGTCTGTGATGTGTTTTTGGCCATTTTTATATTAAATAGCGATGTGTCAAATCCGAATCTCGAATCCGTTGAATCCTAAGAAAAGATTGGGATCCGAAGTTCGATTAACAAATTTAGAGAATAAAAAAAAAATTAGAATAGAATTATAAGGTATATACTGAGACATTGCATCCATAAAGGTTATTGATGTTGTAATATACACTATACAGTGACATTGCATTGAGGTTATCGACGTCATAATATGACATTTACTAACAATAGAGGTTATTGACGTCGACATTGTAATATACAGTATTGTGACATTGCCATTTTATGAACAGAGTATACTGTCGATCAACGAATTTAAAATTAACAAGTGTACCTACAACAACCATAAATAACCAATGATGAATATTTGCCGTTCAAATAAAGTATTCTGACCGACCATTCGATTTAGGTAAATAGGTTAAAAGATGTAACCGATTATTCGTCTATTATTTTTGCTGGGTGTCAGAAGTAATTACGTAACTTTTCATTGCAAAGAGTAGTCATTTATGGTTAGTGTGATATTTTTTTAAATGGTTCTTATTCCATTCTTGCTTTTACAATCACCCAATAATCGCCAATAATTTTTAATCGCCCATTTGTAATTATTTTTGGGACTCGAGACTCGATTATTTTAGGATTCGGATTTGAGATTCAAAATTCCTGGATTCGACCATCACTAATATTTAATGTTGTTTTTTTTGTTATGGCCTGCACAACCCATAGCAGAAAACTTACTCAACCTAAATTTCTTTCTACAATTAAGGAAATAAAACAAAACCATCTGAAATGTGTTTGCTGTTCTTTTGTGATGAGGAATTATTTCCGTGTTTTAGTCTTAATAATTAATAGATGGTATGGTATAACTATTGTTTTGTTTTGTGCAGGACAGCTTTTGATAATATTGTAACTATCTTAATTTGTAGGCTGAAGTGTCCGGTGTCATCACTACATTTCCGGGCTCCCGGTGAAAGCCGCGTCAAATCAGTATTTACACTTCCAAAACCACCAGACGTTTCGCCTGTTCTAAAATGTGGCATCCTCAGTGGCAAAGCTGAGATGTGTGGTTTTGTAAATAGTGCAAATACCGATTTGACACGGCTCTCACCGGAAGACCGAGAATGTAATATTGTTACTACTATCTATTAATTTTCCTACCAATTTTCTTGATTATCAACACAAGATGTATGTTGTCATATTCAATAAATATATGTTTTCACATTTTCAGTCTCGTGTAACATGCCAAGCTCAAGGAGAAAGAAACTTTCATATTTTTTACCAGTTGCTCACTGGAGCTGATATTCAGCTTCTTAGTAAGTAAAACTTGCAATATGTTACATTTAGTTTTAGGATAGTTTTATATATTATACATATCCAACAAAAAAATATGAATGAATACTTTTATATATTTTACATATCTTACATAAAAACATAAATTAACGTTATGTTTATGCAACGTAATAAATTAATTTTATGCACAATTAAATTATAGGACATTATAGTGACATTATAGGATCAATGTATAGTATTTAGATTCCTGTTGCCACCACTGAAAATTGTTTGTTACTTACCAGGCCCAAGGTGTGTTCCTTTTGGAGGGGAAAAGCTTACATCTTTTTTTCGGAGGAAATGAGATTAGATCTTTCTCTTTAAAATTGTATACATTAAGGAAAGTGAAGTGAATTCATACAAATCTTAATGGTACTATTATATATAAAACTGTTGCCATTATCATAACAATTATTATAAGATGATCATGAAATATAATCATTTTTTGAAGTGTGGTGTAATTTTCACACAATCAGTAATTAACCTACGATAACATTAACCCATTATTTATTCTTGTAATCCTAATTTTGAATATTGAATTTTGTGATTCTCATTATTTATTAGGACAGCTTATCAGATCTAGTATTTATGGGTGGCTTTTACTGTTCTGTTAGTCCAAAAAATGTTTCATTTTCATTGTGTATCAATTACTTACCAAACCATTATCCAAAATGTTGGTTTTAGAAAAAAATGCATTAAAAACTATGAATTGTAAATACTATTAGTAAAAGACTAAGTACAATAATAAACATTTTTCTTAGAACACACTCACTTAAGATGTGTTTGAACACACATTAAAAGTTGTACCACTGTATATTCTAATTTTTCAGAATGCCTCAAGTTGCAGAGAAACCTTGAAAACTATGTGCTACTGAGGAGCAGTAGATCTCTTCAACTGGAGACGGTTGATGACAAGAGAGACTTCTTAACAACACGGGTAGGCCTATATACACTCCTTATATGATAACCACACTTTTAAAATTATTTTGCACCACGGAAAGTAAACAAAAATATGTATAATAACACTTGAAACATAATAACACTTATAGGTACTGTTTTAACCAGACAGTAAATATTATATGAAAGATGTTAGGGGTGATCAATTTCAATTGGACACTCCAATCATCATAAGAGACAATAGGCAAATGCCATTCATTGATTTTTTAGCATCAGTCTAGATTTTTCTTTTTAATTCTGGATAAGCAAACTGGACAAGATCGGGGTTGTGGAGCATTTTGCAGAGATTGGGTAGGTTCAGGGGAGTTTTCGATCAATTGGTCGAGTTTGTAAAATGGTCAGATACCTGTTAATAGCCCTCTTTAGAGAGTTAATTTGACCCTCTACTTTATTGTTTTCGTTGCCATTCAGAAAAGTGGCTTTTATATGCACACTCAGTAATCTTACACTGCCATCATTTCCCATTCCCAAATATGCCAGATTGTAGAATGTCTATTGTATATTTAGTATTTAGTTCTTTCACAGAGAAGTATGGTACAGAGGAAACAAGCTTAAGGGACGACCGTGTGCTTTCAGATCTAGTATGTTGTGCCGGAAATATCCTTGTGGCGAGCAAGGTAGAGCCCGATCGACGACCACTGTCCGAAAATTTCTATCGGACAGTGCCTTCATCCACTGTGAGTGTTGTAGTAGATGAGGGCAAGGGGGCGGTATTGAAATTTTCCCTAGACACCAGCACTAGTGCTAGACACTAATTAAATGTAGCCACCCATTAAATTTTTCCTCTGTACCTTACTTCTCTGTGGGTCTTTACTGGGGTTGATTAAGAGGGTTGGTAAGTATATGCTTTCAGGTAATTTAAATCTATGCGTAGTATAAACGTTATGTGTAAAATGTTTCCAGAAATCATTTGAGACCCTCGGTCTTTCTCTTGAGGAGACGGTCAGTGTCCTGAAGGTGGTTGCCAGTGTTCTCAAGTTGGGTAACCTCACATTCTTGCCCACCAGCAACATCGATGGCACCGAGGGATGTACAATCAGCAACGACTACGGTAAATTTCTCTATCATTTTGGGGTTTTACATAGAGTAAACTCGCTGTATTAAATTGGTATGATAATACATATTTTGGTTACAGGTAAAAACAGCTAATTCAAAGATAAATAATAACATGAACATGGGAAATTTAACAGTGCTACTATTTATGTTATTTATTATACTTTATCCCTTTGAGATAATTTTGCCAAAACTTTACAGACATTGATAAAACATTTATTTGAAACTTTTTCTTTTTTCTGTAGTCTATAATAGCAAATGTATGGCAAAATTGTGGGCAGCAAGATTGACTGATCTCTGATCTACAATGTTTTTATCCGTAATTGATAACCAAGCCATTTTATGGTTTTAACCTACAAGCTCACTAGATTTAGGTCAATTTTTCATTGATGATATGTAATGTTTGGAGTTATGTTTGATCTAATATAGATTTACAATGCCTGTCAGGATTTTGAATCATAAAAATGAAGGTTTTACATGTATTGGTAGGATGAAATTGTCAAACACACCAGTCCATGATACTTGTACTTAAACTGCTTGAGGAGCCTCGATGATTAAAATGCACAACACCTACTCAGCACACAACATAAACGTCATAGAAATAGATACTTACGATGCGATAGGCCTGCTGACCCAGATATGTTCCCTTGTTGTGTTTTAAATAAGTAAACTTGAGTCAGCAATTTATGACAAAGGTTTTAGAATCTTGATTTTTATTTATTATTAAATTTCAAACTCCTCTAAGACATTCATTTTACGCCCTTAAAACTGTAATTTTGTACTTATAAAAACATCCACTTCCATTGATACATTTAATGAATTAATGAATGAATGAAAATCCTTTATTTCAACAGGCAAAGTTAGGGCCACATGGCCCTTTCTTACACTTAACCTGTACTTTTATATCGTTATACTTAAAACAAATGTTTTATGATATTACCTTATGTTACTGTAAACATCTGTAACAAACCCTCAGGGAAGCGAGCTGGTCTAATTATAGAGTGCGGGGCTTCAATCTCTAAGGTCCCAAGTTCAAATCCTGCCAGTCACTAATGGCTTTAGTGATAATGCTGCGATCCTCTAGGACTAGCCTGAAGTAAAGTGTAAAATCACTTTGGGCCAGAGCCTAGCATCCTAGGACATTAAGGAGGAATATAAAAAACATGTGCAACATTGTGTTGGATGCACAGTTTATTTTTAACATATGATACAGAGTTGTATGACATCTGCCATCTGTTGGAGACGGAGATGGTCTCCCTACGCAGAGGTCTGACTCAGCGCTCTGTCACTATACTGCCTGCTCACTGCCCCTCCCCCAGCCGGCGATCCCCTTCTCTGGGCCGAGGTATTCCACACCCTCTCCCCCACCCTTGTATAGTGCAATCTCGATGAAACAAATCCTTAACAAACCGATCATTTGTTTGATAAAGTATTTCGTTAGATTGGGGTTAGATGTCCTAAAAATTTGTTACATCAAGGTTCACAGATCATCTTAGTTACGTTTGGAACTTATTATATATTGTGAAATCGTATATTTTATCTATAATAATTTAATTCTCTACACAAAGTAAAGAAAATTAAAAGAAGAAATCCCTACAGCTGTGAATAAACAGTAAAATATTAGTGCACAGAAAGTAAAATAAATACAGTATTATACAAACTGAAATACAAAAGGGGAAATTAAATGTGTCAAACGCACTAATCTGCATTAGGGATGGGCGAGATTGGATTTTTAGTTTGAGACAAGACGAGATGGGATTTATTATTTCTCATAAAATTTCGAGACAAGATCGAGATGGGATTTCCCTTCTCATACATAACGGGAAATGCACGTTCCATATCTTAACCTGATTTTTAAACATTTTTAAATACTTACTGTTTTATCATAGAAATAATAATAATGGACAAAAATATTTAAAATATTTTATTAAAAAACATTAATAAAAACACTATAAAAAAAATAGTAATAAGGTCTAACTTATTAAAATTAACTCTTCGGTATATTGTATATAGTTCAACTTTAAAAAATATCAAATTTATAAGTCTAAAACAACAGTATTTACTAGTAAAGTATCAAGTAAAAATGTTTAAGTCTTGTGTCATTTTTAGTCATTTTAGCCATTTAGTCAATTTTCATTTCATCAATTTTATCAATTTCATCAATTTTAGTCATTTTAGTCTTGTGTCATTTTGGAGTGACTTATTTTGGCTATGTTTACAGTAGTAAAACATGTCTCACACTGCTTACACTAACTCATTTTTTGCTATGTAAAAAAAAAATAAAACAATTGAAGCAATATTTCCATGTAAAGAATTAATAATTAAATTAAAACTCCTTCGCAAAGGAAACACAACATCAACACGCTCCTGTATTGCGGGTATTGCATTGACTTTCTGCAGGCGTTTTATTTTTAATTTTAAATTTTAAAATTAAATAATTTTTTTTTTATCTCGTCTGCAAAAGTCTTGACCACAATAGCATCTCGTCTCGTAGATTGAGATTTAAAATTTCCCGAAAATTGCCCGTAATTTCGAGACATCCCTAATCTGCATCTTTTATTTCGGTGATCTCATTAGTATGGAATGACCGTCCTGTTTGTTAGAGAAAAAGCTGATGGTATCAGTTTGCTTTATCATCAATAGTTTGATGATATCATAGCTCACCGATTCCTTTAGTTTTTGACGTCCATTGCAACTAAAAAATAACATATGCTCACACACCGAGCAATATAGGCTTTCTGCAGAAACTGATGAAATGCTCTACCAACAATGATAGAGTGCAACCAACTAAAAGTTAAAGTCGAGACACAATGTTTTTGTTTGTTACATTCATTAGTGAAGTACATAGTCATAGGAGTTTTGTTATATATAGAGGTTCAAACTACCAGTAATTTGCTAAAATGAAAATAAATTATTTATTTGCCGAGATTATAACAAATATGTTATATTGCGGTTGTGTGTACAGTTTATTTGCTATGAATAATTGAAATTAAATGTAATTCTTATGTAGAGCTCTAGGGGATTTAAAAAACATACTATATCAAGGAATTAGTTGTACCAAGGATTTTTATATTGAGGTTGCACTAAATACTAGAATACTCTTTTACCTCCTGTTTGTTAAAATTCCCTCCATGAACCCCCCCCCCCCCTGTGTAGCTCTGGATAGGTATTATTTGACTCCAGTGTGTTTTAGGTCTCGTCCCCTTGTTTCTTTTTACTCAGTGGTACTGTTGATAGTAATTATAACTTTAGTTGGGTGGAGGATTATTTTCTCTTTGTCCCCCTCTCGCGGTCGAGTCATTCCACAGTTATACCCCAAGACAGCGCCTTGTATACTAGGACAGCATTTTCCCCTCATGATTGTCTAAACACCTCATTCACTCCCCTGTTTGTCTTTGGATAGATTTTGAACTCCAGTGTATTTAGGCAGTTTTTTTCCCTGATCTTAGTCTTTTTACCTGCATTGTGTTTTTAGTACATCTTCTCACATTAGTTTCTTCACTTAACACTGTGTAAGACATTTTCTCTATCCACAATACATCTTCATTCTTATAACTCACTTGTTGTGACAGTAGCAAATTACAAAGTTGAAAGTGTGGTTTAGTAATAATTTTTTTCTATGTAATACAGAGAGGTGCAAAAGGATATACAGTAACCAAATAGTTGATTAAAATACACTTTTTACTTAACAAACAATAAGACTTTAGAGTGGCAAATAGCAACAACAAAAACAGCTGATGGTAGTAAAAGCAAGTTTTACACAGTCATATACAAATTAACGTGCAAAGGTAATTTTTACCTACCAATTACAACTATATATTTACTTGCACATCTCCTATTTTTTTATTAAATACTTTCAAAATATTACCAATTCATTGATTGGGGTTTCTTTATTTTTCACATAAACTCCTTGCCTATTTACTGTTGAACTTAATTCTGTGTTTTATGCTACATGATACTGGTTGTGTTTTATTACTCCAAAAAGTAATTTTTGCCCATAGTTAAATAAATAAACCTCATAGGTAAGTGGACATACTTTAATTGTAATGGATACTGTCTAGATATATTAAATGTAGGCCTGTGCCATATGTCAAGTAATGGACCTCCGGTTCCGCCTCCTCATGTATGATACTACAGAAGGCCCGCGGACGATGAGTGTCACTTCTGGTGCTGCCCAAGGTTCCATACTCGGCCCGGACCTCTGGAACGTTGCCTACGACAGCCTCCTTAGGTCTGAAATGCCTGAAGAAACCGTTTTAGTTGGGTACGCAGATGACATTGCAGCTTTAATAGCTGCTCGTAGTGTTGAGCTGGCCCAGCTAAAATTAAACCGAGTCATGCGAACTATAAACGCATGGATGGCAGATCACGGTCTCTCACTCGCGCTGAACAAAACTGAGATCGTGATTCTGACCAAAAAGCGGATTGACACCATTGTGCCGTTGAGGGTGGGGGACGTCGAAGTCCAGTCCGTTCGTGCCGCCAAGTATCTTGGTGTCATGGTGGACTCTAAGCTTAGCTGGCGGGACCAGATATTCCGAACGGCGGACAAGGCCGCTAAGGTGATCTCTTCTCTTAGCCGGTTAATGGCCAATGTCGGAGGTCCTCGTTCCAGTCGCAGAAGGCTGTTGATGTCTACAGTTCAGTCTGTGCTCCTGTATGGTGCGGAGGTGTGGGCAGACGCGCTCAATAAGGAGGTGTATAGGATGCGGCTTGCCAGAGTGCAGCGTCAGGCAGCACTCAGGGTAGCATCCGCCTACCGAACAGTGTCTGAACCTGTCATCTTGGTGGTCGCTGGAGTAATCCCCGTCAAACTTTTGGCGGCGGAGAGGAAAGCGATTTATCAGCGGCGTGGAGAGGACCATGCAAAAATGGAGGAGCGCAACCGCACCTACCAGCTCTGGCAGGAGAGCTGGGAACAGGAGTCGCGGGGACGCTGGACCAGGAGACTGATTCAGCAAGTCCAACCATGGGTTGACCGACGGTATGGTGAGGTGGACTATTACCTTACCCAGTTTCTGACAGGTCACGGGTTTTTTCGGTCGTACCTGTTCAGGATGGGCAAAGCCGTGTCACCCGATTGCATCTACTGCCCAGGCACTCCCGACGACGCGGAGCACACCTTCTTCCGCTGCCAGCGTTGGGAAGGTTCCCGCCTGGAGGCTGAACAACATGTAGGGCAGTTGTTGGTGGACACGGTCATTCCGATGATGACGGAAGGTGAGGACAATTGGACCTGTATGTTACATTTCGTCCAGGATATTCTCCGCACAAAGAAGCTAGAGCTTGACTGAGATGCGGTCTAGGTCATAAAGAAATTGAATGCCAGAAACGGCGCGAGCCCTGAGGGCTTAGGTCACACGTTGACCTGACCTGAAGTAATGTGACAAACAATCCCAGGTCTGTGTCCAACAGAGTAGAGGGGGTTTTTTAGTGAGTAGTCTGACAAGCTCAGGAGTCTCACACTACAGGCTGGCTACCTGTGTGCGTAAAAGCATTTTTACCTCCTCTCCCTTATAAAAAAAAAAAAAAAATATGTCAAGTAATCAGTTTTACTAATGGTTATTTAATAGTAAAATAATTCAATTAGACACAATTTTCTACAATTATATTTCTTGTCAGAGGAGTTAGTGAGCTTTAACAAGATTTTTATAAATGGTTTACAGGTAAAATCAACAACCTGTATTGTAAAGAGGTTTTGCCAAATGAACAAAATTTCAAAGGCGGAAATAGTGAGATAAATCACATGAGATAACTAGTTTAATTTTTTTGTATATACACAAATTGATATTCAAAAATTCACAATACATCTCAAATGTACAATCACAACAACCAATAAATTACAAACCACAGTTATGTACATTATACATGACACACTAATAATAAAACAGGTGTTTCAATAAACAACGATGCCTTTAAACCCGATTTATTTCTTAGATTTCTTTCCATTACCCGAAAACAATGTGTAATAGTTGTGTGGATAATTGAATCGAGTTATAAATAATTATGTTTAAAAAATGAAATAAAGTCAATATTAAAATAAATATTAAAATTCTCATACCATGTTCATATCCTACATGTTCAACAGCTATCATTCCAATATTGAATGTTGAATGTGCTACTCGTTCTACAATATTGATAATAAATGGCATTATTGGACGGAAAACTTTTCTATACAGTAGCAAACAAACAACTTTCAAATATTTGTAAAACAATAGATTAACAAGTGAGGAAATATTTGTCAAAGTCAAATACAAAACGTCCACTAAGAGATCAGGGTGCCAGAAAAAAAAGAATATTATTGCTAAGTTGATAACATTGTATACTAAAGACACAAATGGAGATATTGCAATAGTCATGAATATAAAGAATGTGGGGCATTTCGTCCTTGCCACATGGACACTTGATTCTAGAATGGCATGTCCTAGGCTTGATTGTTTGTTGATTACATTGATCATTACTGCTTCTAGCACTACTGGTACCTGAAACAAATTAACGTCCAATCAATATAAACATTATAACTCAGGGTTTCTACAGCTACTCGATATCCCAGATCTGAAAAGTCCCCAATATTTCAGTTACGTTCCAGATGTCGCTGTAAAACACACAACCTTTTATTCAGTAATTTATTCCACACAGGAACAGCAAGGCTGGGATACAACTAAAATAGGCAATACAAATTTAAATACACTATATTGTATACTCAATTGATCCATCTAACTTATAGTAAATGTTTTCATTTTTTTTCAAGGACATTTAACAAACTACTAGACCCGAGATATTATTATTTTTTATGCTAGGTTAAGTCTTTTTTTGGGTTTTAAGCAACATAAGTGAGGCTGGATGTGGTTGGAGGTTATGCTTTTACTGTGATTTGTAATGTGTAGAGTCAACGAACCAATGTTTTTGGTCAGCTATGAATTGTTTGTTTGGTTGTAATATTTGTATATTATTTTAAAATTTACTTTGCCATTGGTTAACATCTTACAATTTTCTTTAACATAAGTGTTTCATGATTTACTTATATTTTGCGCATAACAATTTCTGAAAATTGCTTGGTAAGGGCCCCCTCCCAATATTTAGTTTGGCAGCTGCTGTAGACACTTTACAAAGTTATAAACATGGGTTCTCTCTATTCCTATAACACTCCTACATCATTCTATGGTTGTTGCAGAGTTGTACGAGGTTTGTGACCTGCTAGAGACGGAACCGTCTTGTCTACAGACTGCTGTGACGTCACGTAACCTGCAGGTCACAGAGACGTGTGACCCTCCTCTAGTCACAGAACTGTCAGCTACTGAAGCCACACATGCCAGAGATTCCTTGTGTAAGGCCCTCTACAGTAGACTCTTCACTTGGCTTGTCAACCGAATAAACGAAGCTCTTAAGGTGAGTTAAATAAAAGTCATTGTCATTATAACTCATATAATGTATTGTTATGTTAGTGTTGTGATAATTTATCTTTAGTGTTTGTATTGTGTGGGAGTGATGGTCGAAATTAGGAATTTTAAATCTCTAAATTGAAACCAAAACTAAAAGTAATCAAATTTTTAATCTTAAATCTCGAAACCTAAATGTGAAAATACGTAACTTGCCTGGTTGAAGTTAAAATAACCCTGCCACAGCAAACCTGCAGACTAAGGGAATTTCCATTTGCCTCATTGGATTTTCACTCAAATATTTTCTTAAACACATCAGATAAGTATTTCCTGTATACGACATTAGGTTTGACGAGTACTTAGGTTTGCTGCTACACAGAAGGGAAAAAGTTTTTTTTTATCATGTTAATAGTACCTATGGTAGGAAATAAATAGATTTGTCAAATTTGATCCAAATATGATTGATTTATAAACAAGCTCTGCAATTTGAAATATATTCTGATTTCAGAGATTTAAAATATAAAACTTTTCAATTCAGGATAAAAACCCAACATTTAGTTACAACGCCAATGTTTATAATGAAAGAATAAAAAATAAAATATAAATACTCTTACTTAGATTTGCTGTTAATCAGTCTTACCTTAAAATGAAACCACAGCCTATAATCCTGCTACTGATTTCAATAAAATTAAATTTGTGCTTTCCTAGTTAGTAATGCTCTTAAAGCTAGGAGTTTAATTTTTTAAAATCCCCCCTCAAAGATATTAATACAATTCTTGTTGTTATTTATACATATATGTTTTACAAGTGTTTAATAGGTCTGTAGTATAAGTAGTTGAACACTCCTCACTCAAGATCACACACACACTGTACATTGGACACTGAATGAATCTGAAACTGTGCCAGTCAGCTGATCAAATTCTGCTTGCTTGTTTGTTTACAAACATCAAACATACATATTGTGATTTGATTTGACTAGTCCCTATTTCTGGCTTTCTTATTTGCTTATTTCATTTGTACCCTGAAATAACAACTCGAGTTTGGCTTATACAAAATTTCAATTTTATGAATGTGTATCGGTTTTTTTTTTTTTTTTTTTTTTAACACCAGTGTTATTTTGGAAGTTTTTTGTTGTTTTAGGTTCATTTACCTAAGTAAGTACTATAGCAAAGATGTGTGATTTGATTTTTAGGACAGAAATTACAAAACAAAATTACATAGTGATCTGAGTAGCCGAGTGGTAATAGTGCTGGGCTTAAAATCTTAAGGACGCTGGTTCTATTCCAAGCAAGATTGTGGACTCAAATGCCATTTGTATTGATCTATCAATCAATTATGCTAACAAAAATTCAGTGTTAGTTTCCTTAAAGAATATATAAACAATGTCGCTGGTGTGGATAAACATAAAATAACGAAATGAAAACAGGTTTGCTTTTGGGTTTTAGGTGAGAAGGTATGGCAAGAGGAGAGTACTAGGCATTCTAGATGTATACGGGTTTGAAATGCTAGAGAAGAATGGGTTTGAACAGTTTGTTATCAACTTCTGCAACGAGAAGCTTCATCAGGTCATCATTGAAGCCACTCTGAAACAGGAGCAGGAAGAGTACCTTAGGGAGGATATTACCTGGACACCGGTAGATTTCTTCAACAACTCCAATGTCTGTCACATCATAGAAAAGGTAACTCTTTTATATAAAAACAGCAAAGCTTTTCGCCACACAACACTGTTTTAATGGACTTTCCGCACATTAAATTAGTCTGGGAAACAGCTGTTTGCCGCCTGCTTAATGGGATATGATTGTGTATTACTGTACGGTGATGAATTTTACCAGGTACTAGCTGATTATAATTAGCATATTTTTGGTCAATGAACATTTCAGGTATTTCATAAACATAACCAGGGTGATTATCGGCATGGAAAAATGTACTAGTTAAAACAAATTAACTTTATTTTTGCAAATAAACGTCTGTATAATTGTGTTAAGATTCTTAACCCAAAAAAGCAAAGTTTATTCTGTAAATAAAAGGGTGCACTTTTTTACATTAACGTTATTGATCAAATAATATCCAAACCATTCTCCATAATCATTAAAATCTATCCTACTAAACTTAATTATAAAGATAAAATCACAAAAGTTTGATAATAAGTAGTCTAACATTGACAAGTGAGTGGTTAGAAATGAAAGAATAACATCTTAGAGAAGTTATGAATAGGCCTTCCGGTAGTGATTGTTAAGTCCTTATATCAAGTCTGTTGGAGCATTACAGATTTTGACAATTTATTTATTGTTAGATATGTTTAAGGAAAGGAAGTAAAGGTGAAAAATATTGTATGACACTTGTCTAAAATATGTTTACCGTACTCTTATGGTAAACGCCTATTTCCGGACTAGAAACGTAATACAGTAGACTCCCTCTTATCCGGACCCCTTTTAACCGGACATTGGTTTGACCGGACTACACGCGGTAGAAGTGACATCTCTTTATCCAGATAATTTTTATCAGCACAATCGGTTTAACCGGACTAGATTGGTAGGAAGTGGGCGGTACTGAAACAACATTTTTTCCAATTTAATTTAATTTATTGTTATGGTCAGTTAACCCAGGATTCGGTTTAACAGGTGGAGTTAAAAGGGGTTTACTATAATTATTACTTTCTGCTATTAATCTAATACATAATTTGGAGGATCTTTTTTAGTTACTTATATTTTTTCCTACGTTTGTCTACAACATTGACCCTCTTTTAATCCATGGAGTAGTTCAAATTTTCAATGTTTCCTCTTCCTGTGACTTGAGTTTTCAGTCAAATGCAGGTTTACAACTGGGATGAACTGAATGCATATCAAAAAGAACCCTTAGACCTTGAAAGTCCTCGCAAAGGGTAAATTTTTAGGGAGATGTATACTAGCTTTTTTAGAACAATAAACATATTCTTAAGTTTTTTAACACAAGTTTTGAGGTTACTATCTGGTTTGGGATCTTTCCAAGACGTAGCTTAGTAGTTGATACAATGTATACCCTTGTTTTTATTTATTATGTTCTACTGTTTAATAAAGAATGACGATGCATTCCTCAAAGTTAATCTTATGTTTTAAAACTGAGCTCCTCATTGAGAGTGATGTGAGTTATATCCACTACTGCCATATATGCAACTGATAATGTTGGGGACAAAGTGAGAAAAATATACATTATTATTTGGTAAAAAGGGAGAGTTATGTAAAAACATTGTAGGCCTACCAGGCCATGAGTATTATTCATAAATGTTACCAAAATAGCCTAGACGGTTTTTAATGAAATCACTTGTTTTGAAGGTATTTAAGATATAAAATTTATTTTATAATTATGGCCATCAAGTACTGGCCATTAGTACAAATTACAAACTTGCTAAAGTATCGACTAAGTAACTAAAGAATCGCTAAAGTAGTTCAAATTTCAAATGTTATGGATTAATTTATGAACATCTTAAACAAACAAACAGGTAGGAAACCAGTTAGGCTATTTTGGTTTGTTCTGATTGCGGTAATGTTATATGGTGTTTTTTATTGCCTCAACCTAAGGAAAGGAACAAATACACAAAATCGTTCCAGGGAATTTGTATACATCTTCATCTTGTACAGAAAACAATTTAACAGTAAAAAATCCTATTTCATTTTAAAAACCAAGTAACTTGATTACTAACTAAAAATTAAAATAACTCACCACAACATAAGTCCAACTTGAGCGTAATTTTTTACTGGTAATCCAGATGAAATTATTGTAAACTCACATGTCAATAGACTTCCCTCCCTATGCATCTTCTTGTCTTGGTTATTTGACTCCAAAGATAAAAACCTTGTTGTGATTCACTAACAGTTTTGTTAAGTAACACTCCACCCCCATTATAATTTGGTTTTGTTAATGCAATAATGCAAAATTGTTTTAGCAGTAAAAGTGTTTAAGATCCATTGGAAAACAAAGTGAAAACTCTTTGAGCTATTTCAACCTGTCATATAGATCACAGTAAGATGGTTGCTACATCAAAACATCTCTTGTCTAATCTACTGATTCTACTTATCTGCTGATAAGTAGGTTAGAGTTTTTATTTAATGGACATTTAGTCACCATGTTTGGTTTTAATGTTGACACAATTTTCAAATGTAATGAGTAGATTCAGCGTTTTAATAGACAACTTGTGTAATTTAACAAATAGTCACATTTAGCAGCTTGTATTTTTTTACAATTTACCAACTTCAGATTGTTTGTTCCGAAAGACAATGTGATGTTGGGCAGTTATTGAACCAAAGTAGTAAGCTAGAAACTAAAAAATATAAAGATTTCTTTAAACTCAAAACATTCATTGATCATTTTACATAAATTCAAGATTATATCAATAATTAAATAAAAATCGACCTTCCATACTAATTAAAATTTCTACTTGTTAGTCTTAGTATCATGAGGTCTACTATACAAGTGTGCAATCTTGTTTTTTGATGTTGAATATTATTTACTCAGCTGTCAACTACCTAGATTTGTTTGCAGTTTGCAGTCAACTTAAATTTTCAGTTTGAAATATGAAATATGGTTAGTTAAGTGGTTGCTTCAAACTATTAAATCAACCAAAAGTATACAGATCATATGTTTTAATTTTAAATCCAAGAAAGTAACATGGAATTAACTTAGGCTACTTAAAGGTTCCTGAGACAGATAAATATTTTTATTTCTACAAACCATTCTAAAAACTAAAAACAATTAAATAAATTATTGGACTCACAATATTTCATTTAAAATAGCTGCAACTTTACCAGCACAGCTCAATACTCCCAGCAATACAAAATCTTTTCTTTTTTATTGCCTTTCAGATTACTTAAGCCGCCATTTTCCAACATGGTGGCCATCTTTGAAATTTCTTATGGAACACCCTAAGAATATTTCTTCATGTTTTCAAATAGAATATGCAATTTAAAAACTTTTTTATTCCTGAAATTTTTTCTATAAGCCCATTTGTTTAGGAGTTACAGCCTATGAAAAATTACTTTCTGTGTACATTTTACATCATGTAGCTCCCAAACGAGTAGGTTTATAGCGAAAATGTGATGAGTAATTAAGTCTTAAAATTGCATCCACATAAAATACGTAAGAAATGTTAATTCTATTATTTCAAAAATGGCGGACATTTTCCAAAAACTCTTTGCATTTTTGCTCTAAACTTACTCGTTTAGGAGCTACATGATGTAAAATGTACACCGGAAGTAATTTTTTCATAGGCTGTAACTCCTAAACGAGTGGATTTATAGAAAAAATGTCAAGAATAAAAAGTTTTTATAAAATGTTCCAAATATAGGGTGTTCCATAAGAAATTTTAAAGTTGGTCACCATATTGGAAAATGGCTGCTGAATTTCAAAAAACTAAACTAACAATTTTGACTGCCACAAAAAATAATGGGATGTCCCCCATTTAAAGTTTTCTCTAATTCTTACCGTTTCCAATATCCCAATAATGGCCTCCTTGAGTTGATCACCCTGTATATGGTACAATATTTGGCCAGCCGCACTCTGAGCAAACCGGGTATAATCATCCATGGCATAGTGGCAGCTTAGAAGTAGCAGATTTTTCAGGTTTAAAACAAAAACTGGTGAACTATTCATTAGTAGTTATTGATATTAATTCCTGGCCTTATTGAATCTTGTTTGTTGACACCCAGAACAACCATGGAATCCTGTCAATCTTGGATGAAGAGAGTAGTAAAGCAAATGTGTCGGATGAAGTGTTCTTATCACGGGTTCAAGCACTTTGTGGTCACAGCCACACGACGCCAGAGAGAAGAAACCGCCACACGTCAACATCGGATAACAGCCTACCTCCCAATTGTTTCAGGTAGGTCTATGACTTAAATTAAAGAAAAAATGTAATTTCTTGAGTTTAGTATCCAGATTGCATTTGAATTCTAAATAATTGGTATACATACCTGTATTTACACGTTCCATAATCATGCCTCAGCCTCTTGTTTACTGTTTATCATTGAAGATGACAAGTTTATGATGTTTAATGAACTATTGCAGACATTTTTAATGGAGGCTGAATAAAATATAAGTATTACGACATTTCAGGAATGATCCTGACCTCAATTTTCAGATAGGAAGGTACCTTGAATATGCAAAAATTAGTACAAAAATCAAGCAGAGCTGGGAAACAAAAGCTAAAAACATTTTTGGAGTAGGTATTTCAATCTGAATAATATTTGTAGCTCAAGACCAAGGAATGTGACGTTATAAAACTCAACATAATATTTATAATATTATAGGGTGTTGTGTTTTAGATTTTCCATATTTCATTTTTGTTAGCCTGTTTTATTTGACTACTCCAAATTTTTGTTTTCAGCTATAGTGTTTCCCAATGATAACTGGTTTTGTACACAAATCTTTTTTTCTTCTAGGTTCTTTCCCATCAGAAAATGAGTTAAGATAAGTCAGATGAGTCGGGGCCCTGAAACGATGCCCGGGGAAACTATCTAGCTAATCAGTGATAGACTATGTCTGCAACATTGACTGTACTATAAAATTATGATTGTATTTTTCATTGAGATCTGATTCATATAAAGTAAACCCCAATGAATGATAATGCTTCTAGGTTGAGACACTTTGCTGGCACTGTGACTTACAATGTGACAGGCTTCATAGAGAAAAACAATGACTTCCTACCTCGGGACATTTCAATGGCCATGCACCGATGTCAACACCCGCTGCTCAAAACACTCTTTCCTGAAGGTAGGAAATGTCAGTAATTGATAGCTAGCTCTTGTTAACTACAATTCTATACCTACTCGAGAACATTTAATGAATGATAGCCTAGAAGTTGTTTAAAATTGTTATGTATATGAATATATGTTTCAAGTTTAAAAATTAATTTTTAGACACATGTTTTACCAATCATGATTGAAATATTTCAGGCACGAATGGCCCATTTCTAATGGATGAAGCAGACTATCATACTGTTTTAAGTTGTTATAAATGATTTATATATGTCATTCAGGTAACCCGAAGAGGGCTTGTGTTAAGAGACCAGTTACAACCGGGACACAGTTCAAGATAGCCATTCAGGGACTAGTACGCAATCTAACCACAAAGCAACCGCACTATGTTAGGTGCATCAAGCCTAATGAGCTCAAACAACCCCGGATTTTTGAAATGGCCTTAGTTCAACATCAAGTTAGATATTTAGGGTAAGTATCCCCTACCTAAGTAGTTCAAGTACCTTTTAAGTTTCTAACTCCTAAATATTAAATCTTCCATCTAATGGAGGAAAGACCATCTAATTTATAACTTACAGATTTTTTTCTTTTCACCTTTTCGGCTATTAGAGATTGACATAATGGTAGGTAATGATGAAACAGTAGGAGCATCTAATTTTGTATTAAACAGTAAATTTATATTTAAATTTACATTGCAAATTCATTTTTTAACACTTTCCAAAACAACAACAATATGGAAAGTGGCACTTAAAACAGGGACCTAGTTTGTATCCTTTTATAACTACATTCCGCTCACAAGGTTCAGGCGAATTTGGGGAAGAAATCCATCTCCTCCACTTGATCTTCCTTTAAAACCATAGCTCAACAACTGAGATTTGCCACTACATCAGTCAGCTACAACATACATTAATCAAAAAAGTAGTAGGGGAACTTCCACTCTCAAACCGCCTAAATACATATTTTATTTTACTTAACATAAAGTTAAAGATCACCAAAGATTGGAAAATGAAATGTCTTCATTCAAAGTAAACATTCTACTCATCAGAAACAAGTTTTTCTTCTTCCTGCTTTCTGAAAGACAGTTGCACAAGATGTTTTGATTATGCCATTTGGCTGAATAGGATTCAGTTTAATGAGTATAGTAGTTGATAAACATGGGAAAAAAGTTGTGTCTGTGGCTTTGTGATTGTGAAGCAATTTTTTTAGTGTCCTCATTTTTCATAGTACAGTCCCTGCCAAATTCGGCAGCTGGGAAAATGACTGTAACTAACCCACTTGTGTGATAAGTTGGTGCCATAAAAACACAGTAGTATTCAGCAGCAAAATTTGGGAGCTAGGCAAACATTTCTTTACAAAATGTAAACAAAAATCACTTTCTTGTAGTATTTCAAAGTCTGATTTGTTGTTTGTGGCAGACTTCTGGAGACAGTTCGGTTGAGAAGATGTGGGTTCTGCTTCCGCCTGACCTACACCCAGTTCCTGACCAGGTATAAGATGCTCTCCTTGCAGACATGGCCCTGCTGGGTAGGCACTCCAGTTGAAGGGGTGTCCTACCTTCTGAGAGACCTCCCCATCCCTCCTGCCGAGTTTGCCTTTGGACGCAGCAAGATATTTGTCCGTAGTCCTAGATCTGTAAGTGTCTGTTTTAGATTTATATTTGATCAATTTTAAACATTAAGATCCAATTAAAACTGTAACACCTAAATGAACTTTATTTCCTTTGCTGATACGGTACCTATTATTGTGTAGTCACCATTACAAGACCTATGTGACGATAATTTTCAATTTGAATTTTTATGTCCCTAGACACCATAAGCCCCTTTTGATGGTATTTATATATGCCTGACTCAAGTAAAAGCTATCCAATTAAGAATATTTTTTCGACCAACATCTGTTTTATTACAAAAAATGTAAATATTGATCACTATTTAATTTCAGAAAGAGAAAACATATTTTGTTTATTACATTATTGTCTATTTATTATTGATGTATCAAACAATTCATAATTTAGTTTGTTATTTATTTCCTTTTTTATCATGTAATTACTTGTTTATAGACATATTTTTATGAATCTTCATTTTAGTTTATTAATAAATAAAATTGATTATTTTGGGATTGATTATACTGGGACTGTTATAGGACTGTTATAGAATCAGGTCCTCTTCAGCCTTGATGTACCTTTGCCCCTTTATCTTGCAAGCGACAAATTGAGTCAATGTTATTTTTATTAGACAAGGATCTAAGTGATATTTTTTTTATAGGAAGCCACTAGATATTCCCTTATTTGTAGGTATATACTGTTGGTGGTATTTGCATCAAAAGGGGGATAGCAAATTATAAGTTAAGTTGCAAGTTTAAACAACACTCCGAGTTAAAGTTGTATATTCCACTATCCTTGTACAACTTTAATGTGGTGAATAGAGAATGTTTTGTAGTTGCATTAGTCTTAATTGAAAATTCTATTGAACCAGGTTTTTTATTACATTTGAACATAAATAAAGCAGATTACAATTTATAGGTATTTGAACTAGAAGAATTCAGAAGAGAAAGATTAGAAGACCTAGCAACACTTATTCAAAAGATCTGGAGAGGGTATAGAGAAAGAAAGCATTTTTTAAGAAAAAAGAGAAGTCAAATCATCATTGCAGCTGCTTGGAGAAGTTGGAGGGTAAATTCACTAAATTGTATAGTTTATAACACCTTGTTCTTCTAATTTATAGTTTAGTAGAAAACGTTTATAAAAGTAGTCATTGTGTTCTGTCAAATTGGATTTTTTCAGTTAATTATTATAATTTGTATTAACACCACCATATGTGGCAATGTTTTCTAGGGTGAATCCATTATAATTATTTATTTTATTTGAGTACCCAATTCCTAATAAAATGGTTTGTTTACTCTATCATTGGCCAACTTTGCCAATATTCACAAGTACGCCAAATGGACTTTTGAAAAATGGAACAGATGTTAAAAATGCATGTTTTCCTTTCTTTTTGCATAAAATTCTTGTTTTCATTTTGTGTTGATTTGATTTTTATAAATTTGAGGTAACCATGATCTTGCAGGGTGTACAATTATTATTTTTTGACAATTATTATTAACTGATGAAATTAGAATCAGTAACTAATAAGTTTATAGAAATCTGTTTTGAAATTAGAAATTTTGTTGGATTATTCATATTATGTTTTAAGTGGAAATAATTCCCTAAGTGGCGAAACTTTGCACATGTGTAGTACCCAGTAACAACATATCAAAAATCAACATTCATGTATGCTGTGCTACAAAATGCCATCTTGGAAAATGGGATCCGATTTTCACTTTTTTGCCCATATTTCACTTAACCATTGGAAATATAGAAATATTGTTCTAACAGAAGTTAAAAACCACAAAAATACATCTTTTACTCATTTACATATTTGCCCTACCTCTAAAGGTTATTGAGATAAATTAAAATTAATATTATTAAAAAAAAACAATAAATTTGTTTGATATATATAGAGGGATATGTCCGTGAACACGATAACTCAAGTAATTTTTGTCCTATTTTGATGAAATTGGGCTTGAAGCTGTACGGCGGGATAACCTTGAATGTGTTCACGAACCACCATGATCGGATCATGGCAACAGGATTTTATGGAGGCTTTTATGGGGTAAAAGTTGGTTTATTTTTATTTTTAACCCTCAAAACACAAAATTTCCCAATTTCTAGACCATTTTGAAGCGCTTAAGAAAACAAATGATTTGGTATTAAAGTTGTTTGTACGCTTATTGGTTACGGAGAAAATTCAAGCAGTTGTAAATTTAAAATCCCTATGTTATTCTTAAGGTCCAATTCCTATCCTGTGACTGTTACGACTCTAATCGCGCGGCTGAAAAAATTGACTGCTTCAATGCAAAGTAAATGCAACACATTCTTATCGAGCGTCTACAGCCATTTTATACATACGGAGTTTGAGGTGTGTACCTTCATAGATGATTTAAAGTTGATGGAACTGGTTCGTCACCACCCATACATTTTCAACCCTAAGCACCCTCAATACTTGAAGAAGATGTCTCTGAATGAGAATACTCTGAAACCCCTCTTTTCACCGTACTATGAAAAATGGATTAGGTTGTTCATTGATTTTTTACCATTCACATTAATATTTCCTTTTCCTCCTCTTTTCCAAGTAATATATTCGCTGCCAACTGTGCTTATTCCATACGGTCAAGAGTGCAATTGCACTTGTCACTAGTCGTGGGAGTCGCAGCATAGGAATTGGACCTTTGTGGAGAATATTGTAAACTGTTGCAGTTTGCTTTTTTATGAACAAATATTGATCAAACTTGGTAAATTTATTTAATTTATATTAAGCCATTAATATTCTATTAAAAATAAACTTTATTGCCCTTTCTGTGGCAGCAAACCTAGGTATTCGTTAAACCTAATGTAATTTAAAAAGATTTAATTGAAAATCAAAACAGGCAAATGGAAATTTGCTTAGGCTGCAGGTTTACTGCGGTGGGGTATTTTACAATAGCTATGTATATTTTTAATGTATACATTTCAACATTTCATATATAAACCTTGCTGTTAAGGGGATTTTCTTGTAGCAGGGCCGCTGCAATAGAATATTTGTTTGAAAAAAAATTTAACCGTCAGAAATCAAACAAAATTAATGTTTTTTAAAATATTAATTTCAATTAATCTCAATAACCAGTAGAGATAGGACAAATATGTAAATAATTAAAAGATGTATTTTGGTGTGTTCTTTAAATTTTATTTGAAGAAGATTTCTGTATTTCCAACGGTTAGTGAAAAAAGTGAAAAAGTGAAAATTACTAGTAGCACAGCATGCACGAATGTTGATTTTTGATATACTAGTACTACACATGTGCTAAGTTTCACCACTTAGAAAATTATTTCCAGGTAGAGGGGTATTTTTACCTAAAATGACTGGACTAATACTAAAGAAACTCATTTTACTCACTTTTCAATTAATAATGTACATACAGCCTTATCGCAAAAAATAATAATTTTATAACGCATCTACATGAAAATAGCAACCGTTGGCTAAGTATATTTTTTACTTATTCAATGCATTAACAATAATACTACAGGTGTATCTCCTTTGCCTTAAACTATTTTACATTTTTATTTTGATGTTTTGGATAGTGGTTATTGAGGATTTTAAACTTCAAACAACTTAATATTTCCTGGATGCTAGTTTTAGAACATTAGATAGACAAATTTATAGAATTTGTTCTTTAAATTATTAATAAAGGAAGCGTCAAAATGATCTGACGGTTTCTTTGCCACCCTGCCGAGCAAGTGAGTGGCAGAGGGTGGTGGGAATAGGGGTGTTCCAAAGCCTACTTGCAGACATTTTAGTATCCATAGAGCTGTGGACAGCTGAGCACTATGCATTTGTAGTGGAAGTGTTTTTTTTGCATTTCCTGTGTAGCTGTTCAGTGGCAGTTCTGTAGACGTTTTAATATGAGTCCAAGGGGAAAAGTCCCAACTCGAAACACCATTTTGCTGTGGGTGGGTAACTTCAGAGCTACTAGTTTAGCATCGAATAAAAGTCAACAGGCCGTCCAAGGTCAGCCTGGACGCCAGAGAACTCGAGGGAATGAAAGCAGCTGTGGAAGATAGTCTGCAGCGGCCTGCACGTAAATAAGCTGCAGCTCTGCACATGGGTGGCTGCTCGGTAGAGGAGAATTACGATATGACCTGCACTTTCATTCATACAAAATGGCAATCGCGCAACAGTTAAAGTGCAAAGCTAATCTCATTTTCAGAACAAGTGATTGGTTTGCTTACCCGTGAAAAAATTGTCATTATTAACGACGAATCACACTTTCAACCACACCATACAGTCTTCCTCACACTCTTGACGTTCTCTGGTGTCCGGGCTGACCTTGGATGGCCTGTTGATTTTAGTTTCAATGCTGAACTAGTAGCTATAAAGCTACGCACCCACAGCGAAATCGAGTTGGGAATTTTTGTCTTTGACCCACATTGAAACGTCGACATAGGAATTGCGACTTTTAAAAACCCTTCCACTACAAATACATGGTGCTCAGCCGTCCACAGCTCCAAGGCTACTAAAAATGTCCACACGTTGGCTTTGTAACGCCCTTATTCCCACCATCCTCCGCCACTCACTTGCTCGACAGGGCAGCAAAGAAAACCATAAGGTCATTTTGCCGCTCCCTGTATATTACCTAAAATAAAATGCTATGATGATGTTATTGTAGTTATCTTTAGTATCAATGAATGTTTTATATTTATTTATATGTTCCATTGATAGTTTGACGACTTCAGTTATATGTTTATGTTTCTGCATGGTTTGTTTGTTGCATGAAGGAATGTCGGTTTGGTGTACCTTTTCAAGGAAGACGGCACTTGTGGTGTCTTTACCGTGTGGTAAGTATCTTACATCCAAGGGCATCTTTTGTGTTTTTAAAAATTTCAATTTCAATTTAAATGATTTACGCTTATTTGCAGTTACCAATCAGATCCATAAAATACTAACTCAATCCATCAATTAATGATCTTAACTTAAACAATGTGCTTTATTACATTGATACATTTCATAAGTATGCTAGCATCCTTGTATTATCGGACCTTTGACAAATTTGTATCCATCCTGTCATAGCCTCAAAATGAAAAAATAGAATCATATTTAAAAACTAAAATCCCCCACTACAGCACACCTGCAGACAAAGCGAATATCCATTAGCCTGATTGGGTTTCATTCAAACACTTCCTGAAATATGTAAGACTCATTTCTTATTCAATTAATATTAGGTTAAACAAATACATTTGTTTGATGCCACTGGGAAATTGTCAAAAGTGTGATTTTAAGACGTTAATAACTTAAGATGAAATATATAAACTTGCCTAATTTTATCACACTATAAATAAACAAACTACAACAGTTATTCTCCATAAGAATAACATGGGAATTTTATATTTACAGTTTTATGGAATTTTCTTCGTAAACATCAAACATACAACAACGCTTCAATATACTAAATTATTTGTTTCTTTTAAGATCTACAAAAGAATTTGGAACACAATTGTAAAATGTTATGTTTTTTGTATGAAAAGTGGGAATACTATATACCCCATTAAGCCCCGTTACCATAGTATGAATATATTTTTGGCCACTGGGGACATAAAAACAAAAAAGTAAATCGGTCCCAGGTCCAGGTCTTAGCACAAGACCTACGGTAAAAGCTTATTTCCTATATGGGAAATTTCTCTTAAGTCAGCAAAAGTTTAGCATTAAAGCTTTTGAAATTGTTTGCTAGCTTCGAGGATATAGAAGAATAAACATAAACATATTTACCAATCTCCTTTTAACCCTCCGAGTGTCCCTAGTTTTGGCCTTAATGTTTGCCTATTTTTTGCGCATTTGCAAGGTGTTATTAAAACGGATCTGAGAAGCTTAAAAACAATGTTAATTATACTGTTCTATATACCATTTTGTTAGGAAAATCATGGGCTTCAATATTATACATAAAACATAAGGAACATTTGTTTAAAAAAAAATTTTTAGGTAAAAAAAAAATATTTTGGAAAATTTTCTAAAAAAAATAAGTTCGCGCTCAATGAAATTGTATAAATTATAGGCCTATAAATATTTGAAAATAGCCACTTTGTTCTAAATTTTATGAGGATTACAAATATATAATAATTAAGGAAGTAGATTTGCAAATAAATAAGTTATGGGCAAAAAACAGATTTCAGTACATAGCGTTTAGCTAAGAATGCATAGCCTAACCATAGCTAGGAATCTGGCTGATAATTTACATCAATATCACTACCTATTTCTTCAGGATCATCAACCAGCCCTTCAAAATCACTTAAATCTTCTTAAAATGCACCACGTATATCACTACTTTTGATTTTTAACACTAAAACAATGATAAACGTAATAAAACACATCAGTCACCGATGTGAAATAACCAAGATGTCGGACGTCATCTGTCTGCTACAATTATGATCGGCAAGCGCTTAGAGACAGACCAAGCGCTTAGAGACAGACCGAGGGAGAAAGCTTAGAATGTACGGAATAAAACGATACCTAACTCGATCCAGTTCAATCCGATTTTGTCAGTCATAGAGCTTTCGCCGTAAACAGTGTTTGTGTGTCGAAAAATCGACACAAAACACTACACAAAGTGTGTTATGTGTCGATTTTTCGACAAATAACACTCGGAGGGTTAATACTCTGTTACCAATTTTGTTTTCTTTACAATAATTTTGATTTCACATCACATAACATTTCTAGGTAGGTGATTTGTCATGAAGTATAATATACCTATCTATCTCTCTATAAATTTAATAGACCATTATAAATTTTGTGATAATTGTTTTGAAGCTGATAGTAACCAATCGCCATGTTCAAGGTGACGTTAATTAGGTCGTGGCACGTAGATTTGCCACCAGATAAAAAAATTTTATTACTATCAGGGCCCTTCCCCAGTGGCCTTCCAAGTTCCCATGTTATACTTATGGAGAAAAGGTTTGTTTACATTTGAACACATGAATACTTTGAAATGTACACTGTTGTTTGGATAGTATTTAAATTTGATTGTATGGAAAGTTGGAAACATGTTAAAACAAAAACATACTATCAATCAATCAATCAATCAATTATTTAAGATGGGGACGCCACTATGTGCGTATTTTAACTCAAATATGAGTGAAGGATGAGTGGCGCGATCTTGTAGTCTTGTTAGTGACTAAGGCCGACATGTTCCTTAGACACAGCTGTTAATTAACCCATTGGGGAAGGAATTAATGCGCTACCTGCAGCACCCTCTGGTGGCAAATAATTTTACCGAATTTGTAAACTTTTACTCTAACTGCTATAGAAAGAAAACCTTAGGTAATAAATTAATAATTCTTTCACCATTTTGTTCACAGTAAAATTGTCTACAGAAAAGTGGTAATTGGATAGTCAAAGTTCTAAACTAAAAAAATATATATATATAAAGATTATAAAAATAAAAATGTTAAAAACAATATTTTGAAAGTAAACTTGATATACAAATTCCAAGATTAATCCAGACACCAAATAACACTACTATTATAAAGTTCAATCGATTCCCTACGTAGAAAAATTAAAAGTTGTGAACTTTTATAAGTAATAACATTTTTTTTTATTGTTTGTTTACCGTACCGCAGCTGATTTTTGGTGATTGTGGTTTCCATGGCAACACAAAATTGTTTGTTATTCGCTAAAATAAATGAGTAAATACACAAATCAAGAAGCAATATATTTATAAACATTATAATAGTAAGAAGAAACAAAAAGGGCGAAAAATAATAATAACTAAATAAAAAATGGCGCTGCCTAGCGGTGACACGAGCGGCTCTCGTAAGTCGGCCGCCGGGCCTGCAGCGGCCGTACGAGTAACGCTCGTAAGTCGGCGCCAATGGGTTAATAGCCCATACAGCTTATGGCAACTAAGGGACCTACAGTTTATTGTGGAATCCGAACTACATTTTTTCCTCATAATTAACGAATTGGTCTAATTATTAGGATAGTACTGCGGATAGTCGTAGGACTCACTAGTGTGGACGTTAATCCACACCAGGGAGCATCGCATCCACAGTGCATCCCTATAAATATCCACAATTCGTGACCTCCTAGTAGCTGGATTACAGGACGACGCCACCCGTCCCAGTCTCTAAATTTGCTATAAAGCTTTATTAAATTAGTTATAATACATACTATAGTAATAGTATAGTAAATAGTAGTACAGTCCAACCTCAGTATAACGAATCTGAAGGGACCGAACTGAATATTCGTTATATCAAGGATTTCGTTAAAATGAGGTTCGTTATATAGAGGTTATGTTTGCAGGAATTTCGCTAAGTCGAGGTTCAGAACCAGCGTCGGTCAATATAGGCCGGGATTTGACCTCATTAAAACACAATTAAAGTAGCATAGGCTACAATACTTAACAGTACAGTGTTCATTGTACAGTAGAACCTTCTGTATCCGATAGTCAATGGTAGAACCTAAATTATCCGGCATAATAAAGGTGAGGGATCTTGAATATTGCGCAATCATGACAATGGCATTGACCTTGGTACAGGTTAAAAACTGTAAGTTTAAAATTACAGCTTGTTCTAACCCTCCTCCTAGCCAAACACTACATTGCGTGGTCATAAACCATGTAAAAAACAAAACAAAACAGTAAAAAGTTTTGTAAGCTACTGACTGCTCCGTGATAGGCCGGTAGGCTACTTACAGTACAGTACTGATTTATCACAACAGAGGAATGTCAATAATAATCATTAACTATAGCATTGGTGTTTGCTAGTTGAAACAAATCGTATTGAAAACAATAAATTATTAGATAAGTCATTATAAAAGTGCATATTCATAGCCAACTTAAGAAAAATAAAAACACTCTTAAATTAAGGAATGTTAAAATAACGATGTTGCTATTCTTTCTCTTTGCTTTTGTTTTTATATTATTTCTTAGATTTCTCTTTATCCAAAAATTGTACAATTCACCATATTTACTTATCACCCAATCACAGCTTACTACAGATTACGTCGTCATCAGTGAATGAAATCAGTTCTCAGTTGCAACATTGCGTGCTCAGCGACAGCAGACAGAGAGATGTGTAAAACGGAGCAGACGAATGTTAGCGCAAGCGATGACGTCACCTTTCCATTTAATGTGATAAAGAAACAGATTTTCCAAAAACAATACTGGGGTGGGAGATTTGTTATATCAAGACGTAGACAATTCGTTATGCAGAGGTTAAATTCGTAATGTAGAGGCTCTGACAATGATAAATTCGTTATATTGAGGTGTCTTATTTTAGCCGAAATCACAAAAAATTTGTTAAATCAAGGTCGTTGTTATGGTTTGTTTGTTATTAAGAGGTAAAATATACATAGTCTCTTATGGAGAGTTCTAGGGGATTAAAAAAAAATTGTTATATCAAGGAATTCGTTATATTGAGGTTCGTTACATCAAGGTTAGACTGTAGTAAAAGATTTACTCTATTTATTGTGTTTTTAAGTCCTGTGATTTACTACAACACTATTACAGGATACTTTTTTTAATAGCCTATGTGGAGGATATCAATGTCTAACGAACAATTATTTTTTATCAAGTTTCATCATATTGAATAACTAATTTACTTTATTTAAGCTTGTTGCAATTAACATACTAATTGTTTTGCAGGCAAGAGAAGAGTATCGAATCCTCAAAAGAAGAAAACAGATAGAATGGGCTGTTGGAGTTATCCAAAGGCATTTCATCATGTGGAAAGTGAGTTATCTAATTTAGGTTACCAACCCGTTGACGTCGAGTCACGTGTTCAGATTTTGCAGCGAATTACTTGAATTGCTAACCCGCTGGCCTTAGGCGGTGCGGGGCCCTGTGCAAACATTCAGAGCGGGGGCCTCTTACTACTGAAAAGCACTCCCCCCCATTCCCCATACTTTTGCTCAGGCTCATAGGATGATTTTTTTGTGATATATTTACATACTAATCTTGGTATGGTATGTTTTATATTTATATGCCTCAGGCTGTATATTATAAGACATAGCATGAGTAGCTTTGGGTTAATGGGTAAAAACGTTATAACGTTAGTGCTTAACCTTGAATTTAATATTTTAGAACGTACTAGTATAACAATCAGAATCTGTTCGCTCCGTTATTTACTTAAATCAGTTATTTTAAATCCGGATTAAATTTACAATTGAGTTTTTCAGCATAGTTTTTCATAACAACACGGGTAACGGACCAGTTAGGTTCAAGGATTGAGATAGAATAAGTAAAACTAGTGCACCTGTTGCTTGAATTCGAGCAATTGCAAAGTATTACGAGCATTATTTCAAAACGAATAACAGTCATAATTTCCAATTACCGTACTTAAAAGAGTCAACTCAAAGATAATGTAATCAATCACTCCACTCAGTTATCAAAACTGAAAATGCTCTTGGGTGTATCATATGTTTACTATTAACGGCTGTAATTAATACAAATTATTCGTCCGTTTAAGTAAACAAAATCTTTTATCCATAAGAAATACATTGGGATTTTGATGGCCTGTGGGGCAAAGCCCGAGGACTTTTATTGCTGGAGTTGGTGAAAGGGGGCATCTACACAAACAATACTTCATTTTGACACATCGTTTGTAAAAATCCGTCCATTATTAACGGAGGTGTAGTGTTTCCTAGAAATCGCATTCACGCATTATATATAAGGATTCAAAAATTGTTATGATTCAAACTTCAACTAATTCGAAGCTCTTCAGGCTAATTTAGTTGTTGAGTGGTGCAATTAGCGTTCGAAGCTCTTCAGGCTAATTTAATTGTTGAGTGGTGCAATTAGCGTTTGTTACAATGTTACGTTGCATCACTGTAAGTGGCAATGAGAGGTTATAAACAAATACATAACCTCTCTTAAAAGTCATGAGTAGTGATTTTTAGTAGTTAAAACACTGTCGTAGGTAAAGTAGTGTATGCAACTCGCGTAGATAGTGTTTACGCAATCGTTGCGTAAACTACTATAAATTGTGAATTTCAAATTTTAATTCTTTAACTTGAAACTTTTACTTGTCTGATTAAGTTTACAAGAGATACAGGTAATAATAACATGTTAATTATGCAATCAAAACTGAAATACATTTGACTCCTGACCTTACTTAATAACATGATATGTGACTAATATATTTAAACGTAAACGTAAACATATATTTTTTTTATAAACATGAAATACTCAAATAAATGAAACTCCTGACACTGACATCAAAAACATGAATGAGATTAATACTTACCCTAAAACATATTATAACATAACTTTTTTTTTTTAATCAATAAAATATATGATTTATATATTTAACAATAAACACTAAAATAAATTAAACTCCTGACACTGATATCGAAAACATGAATGAGATTAATACTTACTCTAAACATATCATAACATCACTTCTATTTTTTTTTCAAATCAATAAAATAAGAAGAATTTTGGATCTAGGAACACGTCAATCAAATCTCAAAACTGAAGCTTTTCTTAAGTATTGGTGGTTTTGAGCTTTGTATTGTTAAATAAGGCTCTTTAGAACGCATGCAAACTCAATGGCTCAGTCAGGTACATAGATATACGAGTAGGTCAATAAATTTGAATTTATGTGTTTATTGTAATGTTAATGTTATCGTCACAGAGAAGGCAGATGTTGATACGACTGAGCCAACAGTTAACCCTGGAGACTGAGTCGCCTGTGTGTAGAGATTGGCCTCCCTGTCACCCTCGGCTGTCAGACACCAACATGCTGTTGTGCCGCTTGCATCACAAGTGGAGGGTAAGGGCACTAATGCTAGCAACGTGATAAGCAGCAGTAAATTAGCACAACGTAAAATCTATTGTGGAGGCTATACAAGCGGGAGTGTCATCGACTGAGCGCTGCTAGTGCGACATGACGTGCTAACACCGCGACAGAGACAACGCAGACCAGTTTACACAGCATTGTTCAAAGCACCTATTGCACAGATGTAGTCTGAGGTTTAACTCTCATAAACATTATAGATTAAGAGCTACAATTACAATTATCATTTTCGACTAAGATAGCCAAGCAACTAGTGCTGGACCACTAGGTTTAGTAAAAATATACATTTTATAAAACACTCAGAAGTAGAGACGGGCGAGATTGGATTTTTATTTTGAGACAAGACGTGGTTTTTTATTTCTCATAAAATGTTGAGACAAGACGGGATTTCCTTTTTCATACATACAGGAAATGCAAGTTCAACATTTTAACCTGAATTCGTAACATTGTTAAATACTTACTGATTTATGACAGATGACTGGTTAAATACAATAATAATAATAATAGCATTGAGTATACACGTATAAGAGTAGTATAAGAGAGAGTTGTTAGTGAGTCGGTGGCTCAGTCGGTAGCGTCGCGGACTTCGGGCCCAAGGCAGCGATGTCGTGGGTTCGGATCCTGGTCACTGCCGATAACATTTTATCAGTACAGTTCACCTTTGTACTGTACCGGCTCACTCCTTGCTTTGCTGTTAACGATCCACGCACGGGCGCTTAGTCTATGTGGACGGGCAAATGCAAGGTTAAAAGAGGCCGCCAACCTCTTTTTTTAAAAAAAAAAAAAAAAAAAAAAAAAAAAAAGAAAGAGTTGTCACATAATGCTATTAGTTGTTACCGATTTTGGCTACTTAGTTCATGCCGCTGACGCTTGGGTCTCGGTAATCTGTCGGTAGTGCAATGGGCCTCTAAGGATCTTTTAACCATTTAGAATTAAAAATGTATTATGAAACAACAAAACTAGAAACAAACAATGAATTTCATCAACAAAAATGACATTTTACAACCTACAATGATAGCAATAATAAAAACAACAAAACTGCCTTACCGACAATCCCTAGATGGAGTAGTTCGGGCTGCTGACGCTACTCTGGAACAGCGCTGTTCAGGTAACGATAACCTCCATTGAGTGGCTACTCTAGTAGGTGTATACTCAATGATAAAAGGCAAGAACGTTTAAAATCTGTTATTAAAAATCATCAATAAAAACATCAGTATAAAAAAATACAAATATTAATTAGGCATACCTTTTTTAAAATAACTCTTACGAATAGGATACATGGTGATAAGAGTTAGGATATAATAGTTTAACTTTGAAAAACACCAAATTTATCTGTCTGAAACATCAGTCTTGCTAGTTAAGTATCAAGTAACCATTTTTCTTGTGTTATTTTTAGAATGATTTTGCAGTGACTTGTTTTGGCTATTTTTAAAGTAGTAAAACATGTCTCACACAGCTTACATTTAACAAAACTTCTCATCATTTGCGATGTCAAAACAAAATATTATAAAACAATAAAAAAAAGCAATATTTACATGTAAAGAATTAATTAAATAAGAATGCCTTCGCAAAGGAAACGCAACAACAACGCGCTCCTGTATTGCGGGTATTGCAATGACTTTCTGCAGGTTTTTCAAGTTTTTTTTTTTATAATCGTCTAAAAAAAATCTCGATTAAAATCTCGTCTCGTAGAACGGGCGTTTCCAAAATTTATAATAATCCTTAACAACCCAACTGAATGGACTCCACTGTCAATCTTAAAAATAAGAAATTGTTGACTTTTAAAATACGAGGGTTGTTTTTTTTTTCAACCTCCGATAGGCTATGAACAAAAGACAAGTTCATATAAAACATTAAATTTATTACCAAAAGTTTGGTCCATTTATGGTTTCTTTTTGACATAATCACCAAAGAGATTGAGACATTTGCTATATCTGTGCACCAGCTTTTTAATACCCTCTTCAAGAAAAGTGGCCGCCAGTACATTCCAAAAAACAAAAAAATTCAAAAAAACAAAAAATGTCAAAAAAAAAATCAAGAAAAAATAAAAAAAGGACTTTAAAATTTCTAGAAATTCAGTAAACAAAGCAATAATGGTGAATCTGTGGTTTATTTAACCATCCTGTCAAACTGTTGAACCAAGTCATCTGAAACGACAGTAATGAGCTGGTTCAACAAGTTGGCAGATTGGTTAAATAAACCACAGATTCACCATTATTGATTTGTTTACTGAATTTCTAGACATTTTAAAGTCCTTTTTTTATTTTTTATTGATTTTTTTTTTGACATTTTTTTGTTTTTTGGAATGTACTGGCGGCCACTTTTCTTGAAGAGGGTATTAAAAAGCTGGTGCACAGATATAGCAAATGTCTCAATCTCTTTGGTAATTATGTCAAAAAGTAACCATAAATGGACCAAACTTTTGGTAATAAATTTAATGTTTTATATGAACTTGTCTTTTGTTCATAGCCTATCGGAGGTTGAAAAAAAAAACAACCCTCGTATTAATGTTATCTTCCTCTTTTTTGCTAAGAGATTTTAAGTTGCTTAAAAATTAATGTTTCTTTTTTTTCAGTGCCACAAGTACAGATTGAGATTCGACCAGACGGCAAGAAATAGAATGAGAGAAAAAGTAACAGCTAGCATAATTTTCAAAGAAAGAAAAGCCTCATACCCAAGAAGGTAATTGTAACTAACAACAATTCGTGTACTGGTGAAATTACCTGCTGTCAAGTGATCCTTTTGACCTTGAAAGGCGACCGGTTTCGATCCTCACGGGATCATCTTCAGGCGGACGTCGTCATCGTCTTTTCGTTCTTGCAAACACGTCGTTTTTTAAAAAACATTGAGTAAACAGTTTTTAACATTTAAAACACAAAAACACAAAACACGAAAAATGGCCGATAACTATTATGGTACCGATCGGTGGAGCGGCGGGCGACACGGAAGTTGAGTCTAGACTGACCGCTGCAAGCCGGTGTCATTGTTTACTTGTCCCCTCCCCTAATCTTTCTTATCAGGTGCACGCTTTTGTTTGTATCCATTTTCAACTATTTTTATTGCTGTGTTGAATATAATGTTAGATGCGAAAGAGAGCTTGTCGTTCAAAACATTTTGTGGGTCCTGTTTTACGGCTTTGTATATTTCGAACTCCTCAATTGTTGTCATAAATGGCCCTTTATTACATTTATGGAGTATTTCTAAATTATGTTCGATGTTACTGTAGCTGTGGTTGTAATCAATCAGATGGTTGGCATATGCTGAGGTGGATTTTTGTCTTGATTGTTTTGGCAGATGTTCCTTAAATCTGGTATTAAATGACCTTGCTGTCTGGCCTATGTAAAAACTAGGACAGTCGTTACATTTCAGTTTATATATTCTGGTTTGTTTGTTATTTTGAGGCTTATCTTTGAGAATGCTGGCTAGTTTGTTGGGTGTTTTGAAGGAGAGTGTGATGTTATTTTTGGACATTTCATTTTTAATTACAATATTTAGTGAGACTCCGTATTCCATAGAAGCATATTTTTTCCGTTCATTGGCTGGTTTTGTAGCCTTGTTTTTTGCGTGATGTCTGTGGATCATTTTGTCGATCATTTCGCTTTTATATCCGTTGGATACAGCTATAAACTTTATGACATTTATTTCATTTTGGTAATCTTCTGGGCTTAGGGGGATTGATATTAGTCTATGCACAAAGCTATGGTATGCCGCCATTTTTTGACTTATTGGGTGGTGTGACGAATTGTGAATGGTTTGGCTTGTCGTTGTTGGTTTCCTAAAGATTTTAAATTTGAGTTTGTCTTGAGATTTAGTGATGGTTAAATCAAGAAAATTAATTGAACTGTTGACTTCTTCTTCTAATGTGAACTGTATATTCCTGTGCAATGTATTGATATGCTTGCTTAAAGAGTTTAATTGCCTTTTATTACCATTGAATATAACTAATGTGTCATCAACGTAGCGTGAATATGATACAATTTTCTGCACATAGGAGTTTTGGCTAGACCATAAGTATTTGTTTTCGATGTGATGTAAAAATATTTCTGAAAGTATGCCAGAAAGGGGGGAACCCATAGCCAATCCTTTGTTCTGTACAAAGAATTCATTTTGGTAACTGAAATAGTTTTGTTTAAGTACTTCCTTTGTTAGGTTTACTAGTTCGTCAATTGATTCCCTTGTTAGTGACGAGTTCCTTACCAAATTTTCTTCTAGTACAGTTAAAGTTTCGTCGATTGGTACATTAGTATACAGGTTCACGGTGTCAAATGAAGCTAATATGTGGCTGTTCTTGAGTTGTAGGTTGGATATTTTCTCAACAAGGTCTATGGTGTTTTTTATATTGTGACTGTTTTCTAAGACCACATTATTTCTTATTAGTCTGTCTAGTTTTTTAGCTATTTTGTAGGCAGGTGAAAGGATAAAATTTACTAGAGGGCGGATAGGTGTTTCAGGTATGTGGATTTTAGGTAATCCTCTGAAAATGGGAGCTTGTGGGTTTGTTACTTTCATTGATTTAATTTCCGTTTTAGAAAGTAAGTGTGTGCTTGAATTGATGGTTTTATTAATTTGTTTAGCAAACCTTTGAGTAGGGTCGTTGTCAATATTATGGATATCATTTTCCTCAAAGAATTTGCGAACCTTATTTGAATATTCGTTGAGCGTGAGGATGACGATGGCGTTTCCCTTATCTGCTTTAGTGATTACGGCCTCGTTATCAGTTAGCTTTTTCCTTATGTGTGTCGCTACTTGTTTTAGCGTGTGGTACTTGGTCTTTTGTTTGGGCTTATTGAATTGGTTCTTCAAGGTTTTGTTAGCTTTGTTGACTACCATAACCCGTGCAATGTCTCTCGATTGTTCATTTGGGATATATTTAATTATTTAATTGTAGACTCAGTCTGTAAGAGTTCTGAGATTAGGTTACATTTTTTCGTGTTTAGAAAATTGAAATTAATTCCTTTGTTTAGAAGATCTAGTTCGTCGTCTGTGAATATTATGTCAGTTTTATTAACTACACGTGCATGGAACTTATGGTTGCATTTTATGATTTCATTGTGTAGCTGACGCTTAGCAAGATTCTCGAGTTTTTTGTGTTGTTTTGTGTTGTGCTATACTCAAACAAAATGAAGTAACAACAATTATTGATATAAGTTTGTACTGTTTACTTGTACATATTAGTAAGGACTAGAACACTGGATGTATTTTGTTGTTAATATTCCTCCAGGGACATGAATTTAATTGAAATCAGAGTGACCACTTTATTTGATTTAACATGATACCAAGCTTTGAACCTAACATAGTCTGCTTTTTTACAAAATCTATACTCTATACATATATGTATTGCTACCTGATAGATGTTTACCCATTCCCGCCTAAATACGGCGTCCGTCTTAGCGCATCAGGTTACGAATAACTAAAGACGTGCAGTGCTCGTCCTCACGCATAATGCATTATTATTATTTTGCATTATTATTAACTTACATAATTTTTCCCATTATAATAGTTAGGCCTAGTTGAAAAATTAATATAATCATGCTTAGAATAGAATTGCCCATTTATTTCACACACCATAACTTAGTACACATTTGAAAATTTGCTATATAATATTTTACGTTTTAAAATTAGTGACAAGACAGCACTATTGGCCTACACCATTTACACGGCACCACTTGTCATGACAACTAGGTTTTTCAAGGGTGAGGGGCCTCACTGGGCCTAGCTCATTGTCCTCAGTTTACTCCCAAAGACAACTGAATTTCGGGGCAATTGTGTGGGCAGTTGTTGTTGTAAACTTTTATTTTATGGCTTGATTGTTTTACTGGTGGTACGTTCTTATAAGGTAATTGTATGTTAAAATTGAGAAAACAGAATTATACAGACGATGTCTACTACTATTCTATTACTTAATGAAAAATAAAGATCTTGAATATTTCTACCCTCCATTGGAATATTGAGGTTCTTCTAACATTTGAATACTTTTTCTTACTACAGTGGACTTAGTTTAAAGCTATTCACACAAACCTCAAAGTTATAATTGAAAATGATTTGTTATTATGGAAAGGCACTCCCATCAACAAGGACTATTTTAATTTGATTTGAGCTGTTAAAAAAAAAAACAGTTTGTAACCGAGAAATGTATTATTACCGCCTGTGAAAAGGACAATTGTGCTTAAGATATAGTTAATCCTAAGCTTGGGGGATATCACAACAAATTGAGAAACTTGTATGTTATTGTCTAGTGTGGGACACCCTTTCCTTGGTGATTATGTAAGGCTGAGGCAAAATGTCCAATGGAAGAAGATATGTGTAGAGAACAATGATCAGTATGTGGTATTTGCCGACATCATCAATAAGATCACTCGATCTAGTGGGAAGGTAAGTTTTTAGTACAAAAACCTACAATACAACAATCCATAAAACCTCGTGGGAAAGCATTACAGTTTACTAGTGTTTAATTAAACTCACTAGTAATGTGACAATGCCAAGTCCTAACTCTAAAATTAAAATAATTCAACAATCATATTTTAATTTTTTTATTTCATTGCCAATAGCTGGCTGTCGCTCATTTCAAAAAAAGAGATTGGTAGGGTACCCCATGTAAAAAATTGGAAAATTTTATATTCTGGTTTTAGAAATTCAAAGCATAGATTGAAAATTCTTGACCATCACTAAAATTTACCACCATTATTTGACGACGACTATTTCATGCCTGGTTATATTTTTCAACAGCAGATTGCCAAACCTGTTCCTATGTTATGTTTGGTAGCATTGTACAGTTAACTTATTCGCCTACTTTGACAAGGTTTTCTCCTTTCCCAGGATTCTTATTGGTAACCATTAGCCATGCCATCTAAAATTCATAACCAACATGTCACTTTTCAACTATATTAAAAACCCAATATATTCCACGTTTTAGTTTGGCTGCCTTTTGTTAGAGCAACTGGAAGAGTCTGGTATTTTTGACCTGGACGCCAATTCATTTCAATTACCAATGGCAATTTGCTCTGTAAATGCTTGACTTGATTTCCTTAAGCAAGGGTTGTCAACAATCCTTGACGTGATTGTTTGTGGACCTAAATAAAGCTGTAGTTCGCCTATAAAGTATAAACAGATTTCATAAGCAAGGTACTTGATGGGGGTGAAATTAATTGTCAAATCACATTATCCCTCTGTCTATTATCTATTGTGTTCAACGTAAATTTAATAAGAGTACGTTGAAATACAATCTGAAAGTAATTAAGTGATATTTTAACTTAAATCTAACTCTTATGATCAAATTCATCATCCGCAACCGCAACTCATCGTATCATGTTTGTTTAACAGTTTGTGCCAATCCTGTTTGTGCTATCAACCAGTGCCATGTTGATTCTGGATCAGAGGACTCTGCAGGTTAAGTACCGTGTACCTGCCACCGAGATCTACAGGCTGTCCCTATCTCCCTACCTAGACGATGTTGCTGTCTTCCATGTCAAAGCTGTAAGTTTTATCTTGGCTTCAGCTCATTCTAACATATAACGATTGGTTACAAAAACTACTAAAATGACATATGACAGGTTAATAGCAAAAATAAAATATTATTCTATTTGCTTTCAGCAAGTGTTGAGAAAAATTTATCAAAACTTGTATTGACATCCTTGACAAAATTAATGTTGACATCATGAACATACATTAGAGAAAAAAAACCCATACTGTTTCATTTTACCTTTAATATCATCTTTGAGAACTCGGTGTTTCATTTCATTGCAGCAAAGAATCAAGACGTCTGTGGGGGCTTGTTATTTTTTACTATGGTGCCCTTTAAAATTCTATGCCATGCTTTGATTTATCCTTTAAGTGGATGAAATTGATGAGTGTTCTTTGAAAAAGATATATTTTGAGTATACATTTTTGTTTTGTGACTTAATGCAGAAATAGTTAAGTTGTAAATCTAAAATTAATTAATTTATCATATTATTACTGCAACTGTCATATATTTTTATGATTAAATACTGCAAGGTTAAAAAACCCTAGCTTTACAGTATTGAACTTAAAACTGTTTAAAGGTTGTTCTATTTATGTAGTGAATTATAGCATTGAGTTTTGCTAGTTAATTCCCCTGGTTTGTGTAGTTTTGTTGAGTATTTTGTATCAATGTAATATTTATATTTTCAAATTGTGTGATGAAATTACCAAAGAGTAAGGCTAGTATTTGATTATTTTAAAGCAGAATCACGCTTACATATGAATTGTTGCCAACTAATAAGGTGCTTATATTCCACACCAATAGAATGTAGGCCCCAATCAAGTTTGAAAGTTGATAATTATTCAACTGACAATAAAACTTTTTCCAAAACCTTTAAATGATGTGGTAAAAGAAAACATTTTTAGCTAGATGGTAGTGTTTTCATCCGAATAAGATGGTTGTTGAAGTGTCGTCACCCTGACGTACCTTCGTTGACACGGTGCTATCCTTATACACTATTACCAAGTCACTATGTCACCCTGACGTCTTACACTACGGGAATCGGGAAGTCAATAAGCACTACGATTAACACTGTAAAACTGCTAACGACCGAACGGGCCGGAGTTACTCAGGATGGAAGCTGGCTATTACTGAGGTGTGGAAATGTCGGTTAACTTGGACTCATGGGTTGGGGAAGTGGCGTGACCCGATCGTCCAATAGTATTCGTTTATTCAAATGTTATTAACTGGTAGTGGGAAATACAAACGGTTACAGTTCAACGTAGACATTTAGATATTGCCAACATAGCCTTGTAAATTATTAAATAGTAAAACCTATTATATTACTTATATAAATATATTACAGTTGTGAGACTAATTGTTTAAAGGATTTTTTGCATTAGGCCATTTACAAGTGGTTTTATTGTAGAATCCTATCCCAGCACCGCCAGTAGTGAGCACTGTTTGTGTGTTGTTGTTTTGGTAGCCTAGTCCGCTGTCTGACTGCTCGAGTGATCTGGGACCCCCTCCCCCCACCCCTGGCTGTCTGTTCCAGAGCGAACTCGCACGAAAGAAGGGCGACTTTGTGTTTCAAACCGGTCATGTCATTGAGATTGTCACCAAACTGTTCCTTGTCGTTCAAAACGCTGTTGGGAAACCTCCTCAAGTCAACATCAGTACAGAGTAAGTTGCTTACCACCACTCAAACTTGTTTGCATATGTTTAATAAAATCATGTGACAGTAGAGTCCCACTAATCCTAAAACTTGCCTAATTTTAACAGGAACTAAAAAAATGTTTTTGGACTTTGTGTGATGGAGGTAAAATACCTTGAAATCTTTCTGGAGTAATTTCAATTTGCTCACAAATTATTTGAGAATTTTACGGTTTTACAATAGTTGGGCTTTATTCTTTGGCTTTAGTTTTTGTCTTCTTAGCATTGGGGGTCTATTTTTTTACTTTAGGTGGGGTCAGGTCCAAAAAGGTTGACCATTTGGTCTCGGGACAAAATTGGGTGGATACAAAACAGGTTGCTTTAGAAAGTATTGATTTTTGAAAATATTTGTTATACTACAATTTTGCCAATTTTAGTTTATGAAATGAAATCCTTGACGTCTCCCACAGAGAAACAGTGCACTTCTCATGTGGTTGCAATGAAATCGTGAACATCTACGATTGTTGCAAAATTGTAAACATATTCCTTGGTCGGGGAAACATAATTGTGATTTGCCACATTTTCAATTTGAATGTGTAACTTATTTTTTCAATATAATAGTCGTTTTTATCATTATTTTTTAGTGTGCCACAATATTTGTTCAGGAAGTGGTATTCATTATATTAATTACACAACCTATCAGAACCAGAATCATTTTATTGCCCTTCAACATTTACTACAAATGCAATAGACAAAGGTCAACAAAAATGTGGCGATTACATAATCAGACTGTTTTATGCAAAACAAAAAAAACCTATCCAAAAGTACTTTATTTTCTATTTGTTCTATAGTGACAATCAAAGTTTTAAAGCTACCTATTATAGTTTATGATTTATTCATAGCTGAAATACGTAAATTTAGTGTCAATCAGAAAGACAATTTGTTAACCATTTTTTCCAGAGATCTAATTTGAACCATTGATTCTAAAAATATCAGTTAATTTGTTACATCAAGCCTATTTTTCATCCCAGTTTTTTTTACTTTTATTTTTATTTAAATAGTATTTTTATGAATATTGTTTACATGTGATTTCATTGTAGTATCCTTTTAATAAATCTAAACCAAATAAATCATTACAATTACCGACTGGGTGTTTTTGGGTCAAGGTTTGTGTAAGAATGTGTGGTTACAGGTTCGAGGCCAACTTTGGACAGCAGACAGTCGCTGTGGTGTTCAAGTGTACTGGTCTGCCAGAAGTGCAGCCTGGCCAAATCAGGGTGATGCGACGAGCCAATAAGATGGAAATACTCGTATGATCTCAGCCTCAACTGTGATACCACCAATGCCTTCAGCACTTGCTACCTTTCAGGTAACTCAAACTAACAAATAACTATTCTTTGACATTCCATTTGAAATAATAATTTGAACTCTGTTGTTATTGGAATGCTAAACTTCCAAATGTTCAAAAGATGTTTTTATTCTTATTCCTCACCCCCATAATATTTAGTGCTTGTTTTTCTCTCTCTTGTCATTTACTTAAATCCAGATTTGGCAAATCCTCTCTTTTAAATATGAGATTTAAGATTGAGTTCTCAAATATATTTGATTTAAATCAGAATCTTTTCTTTGATTCATAGATTTTAGAGTAACACAATAATAAAATTATTTTTATATTTAGGAGCAAGACTAGTATTTGTCTCATACAGGGCTGGGCAAAAGTGTGGACACCCCCAATTGACTTTTTAATGGGTTACACCGGGAAAACCAAATCCTCTAATATGTGCATAAAAGTACACTTTTTTGTTGGTATCTAAATATTACTTGTTGGTCTTTATAATTAAACATTTTGAGCTGCCTCCAAAATATCCCATTTTGAGGTTCCGGACAAAATTGGGATACAAACAATAAAGTGTACTTTTAGTTTTATGCCATGTAGAGTTGTGCAGAGTTTGGTTTTCCTGGTGTAACCCACTAAAAATTTAATGGAGGGTGTCCATATTTTTGCCCAACCCTGTATGTAAAACAGGAAGTGACTTTCTTTTACTAGGCTCTGACTCTATATTTTATTTTTCATTACTTCAGGCTATGCCTATAGGTTGTGGCATTATTACAGTAGATCCTCTCATATTCGACCATGACAAGACTGGGGTACCCCAAGGCCACACTAAAAAAACAGGCAGTAATGCTCGTCAAGCATGACGTCATGATAGAAGACGGCAATGACGTATTTTTGCCGTTTGTGATAAGCTGCTTGTTTTAATCTTTTTGGAAAATAAATAAATAAATACCCTCTGTCACAAAAATATCAAACATTACGTCATTGCCGTCTTCTATCGTGACGTCATGCTTGACGAGCATTACGGCCTGTTTTTTTAGTGTGGCCTTGGGTACCCGCAATCACAGCAAAACCCGTGTGAATGTCTTGCAGTCTTGGTGACACTGGTATTTGTCTGCTGTGACTATGGAAACACCCGTGATTGGCCTTTCAATTTAACCAAACATTTTCGGTGATATCGCCTATTAGGTAACAAGTAAAGGTCGGATATGAGGGCTTCTACTGTACTTCCATTGGTGATTGGTGGGATCTGAACCGGGTCTTGAGAACCTAATTCCACCGCCCTACCAATAGACCAGCTGGCTTCCAAGACAGATCATTAAACACATTTGTACAAATATTTATGGTTAATTCAAGTAATGTGATGCAAGAAATTTGTATCAAAAATATAATATTGTGAAAAACACTGGTAAAAAGAACAGAAATCATGAGTTATGATTGATGAATAAAATGTGAAACTCTAGTCAGACAATCCACTAATGCAGTGAAGCAGTTATAGCCAACCGAAATATGATTCTTGTGAAGAGAATATGAATATACAGAACTAAATACTGTATAGGTTTAGCCATTTCAAGTATAGGCCTATGAAATACTAATATTCCCATTGTCAATTTGTATTTCCAATGCTTATTTATTGTAATCCAATGTTAAGTCACTCTCCACAAACTGTGCTTGGTGTGTTTAACGCAAAGATTTATTAGTAAGTAAACTACTGAACTGTTATCGCAAAACATTATTTAAAAACTCTAACTTCAAAGGCCACTTGTTTAATACCAGATATAAAAAATGCACCATTCCAATGCAACTAAATTAACTTTTTAGAAAAAAACCGAACTTATGTATAACATAACTGAAATTCTTAAAAAGTTTGCCTGATTACATAAAATTCCCTTAAAGAAAATATCCTTAAATATAAAATAAATGCACCCCCCCCCCCCCCCCCAAATAGACTTAAACTATTTATTTCAATTTATATTATTTGTTTATTTACATACTTTAAAAGCAGTGATCAATTTTCAGCGTAACAGCATTCCGGTACCTCTCTTTTGGAAAGATATATTAGTATAAAATACCCCCGCCGCAGCAAACCTGCAGACTAAGCGAATTTCCATTTCCCTGAATGGATTTACACTAAAATGTCTCCTTAAAAATATCACATTTATTCCCTATTTAAATAGAATCAGTTTAAAACATACTTAGGTTTGCTGCAACATGGAGGGTAAAAGTGTTTTTTATGTAAAATGTTAATAGTTTGTAAGAAATAAAAACATTTTCCAAATTTGGGCAAAATATGTTAATAAACAAGCAAACTACAACAGTTTACTTATTCTCCATAAGAATAACATGGGAATTTTAAATTTACAATTTTTTGGAATTTTCTCCGTAACCATTAGGCGCATTATAACGCTTCAATATACTAAATTATTTGTTTTTTAAGCTCTACAAAATAGTTTAGAAAGAAATTGCAAAATTTTATGTTTTTTGGGTCAAAAATGGGAAAAACCCATTTTACCCCATAAAAGCCCCCATAAACCCCCGTTCCCATAGTCCGATCATGCTGGTTCGCAAACTCGTTCGAATAAACGAAGGTTTACACGTTTGCACCAAATTTCATCAAAATCGGATCATTCTTGCTCGAGTTATCGCGCTAACGGACACATATATATATATATATATATATATGAATTTGAACGGATGGTGTTTTTGGCCTCTAGGGACCTCAAAACAAAAAAAGGAACTAGTTCATGTTTTATTTGACACTATTCAATTTGCCTTATAAATAATGATTATTTTGCTTTTACTTTGAAAGTGTGTAATTTGTTTGCAGGTCAGCCATGACGACATCGCGATCCCTCTCTTCAAGCACAAATGTTTGTTGGATCGTGGGTTCCTACTGTCGGCCTAGTCTGTACCTTTAGTCTCGACTCTAGACACTAGAGCTCCATTTAAGTTACCCTCGTCCTCTTCAATCTGGCCTTTATTGTATTGTCAAATAACATTTTGGTTTTTCTCATACCTAAAAAAAGGTGCATTCAGTGTTTCCATGTGCATAATGTGGGAAAATGGAATTTTTTGCTCCAAAGCCTGATTTTCTTTTTATACTGCTTTCTAGATAAAAACTAACCCCAATTTACAAAATTATTTTAGTTATTTAATTTCGCTATTTAATAGCTTTTTAAACATTATACATAAAAATATCACTTGGTATGGTACAGAATAGTGGTATAAAATTGGGATTTTTCATTACATTTAAGTGGGATGAAACGGGGTTTTCTCGACCCAATTAGCGGGATTTTTGTTTTGGTTACAGGGAAACAAGATGACCTAAAAATTAAGTAGTTAACTTAGCATTCAAGGACATATGCTCAAGTAATAACTAATACTCATTTTTTTAAATATAAAAATACTGTTTGTTTTGTGTTTAAATTGCTGAGAAAAAAGTCATTCAAAACTTTTATTATGTATTGAATATTGATATGTATTGAGTCAGAATAATTCACTTCAAGGCCAGATTCAAGAGGTGGATAGTTTTAATATAGCTGAATATAATATATATTTTCAGAGACTATAAACAATTAGTGTTCAATATATTTGGCAGATATGTGCTTTATACATAAGTTTATAAATTAGGATTGGTGTTAAATCACTTTGTATACAATTTGTTTAAAACATCTTGGTCCAAATTGTGATATTATGAAAATTAAGCGTGTTCTGCTCTTACTTTGGTCATACTTTAGGCATTGTATGTGAAATAACTATGTAGTCTCATAATCTTAAAACAGTTTATCTTGGTTAAATATTTCAAATAATGGTGTAGGTTGTTTGTGTTATGCCTTAGGTATTAATTGTTTGTATTTTTTTTATTCCACTGTTAAAACCTCAAAAAACTATTATTGTCAGTAAATTTCTCCAAAAAGTACACAGTATACTTTACCAAGAGCCGCACATTGAACGTTAGACCTAGAATTGTCATAGATGGTGTCAATGTTTTTTGTTAAGTGTCATAAACGTTTCGTATGGTTTTCAAATGTCACACATATTTTGATACTTCATCACCAATTCAGACAAGTCTGTTTGCCTCAACCATAGTTGTCATTGTTGTTTATTACATGGGTTAAATTATGATTTTTAAGATGGAAAACAGATACCAACATATTAATAGTAGTTTACACAACGATCGTGTAAAAGCTATTTAGCAATTGAAAAGGATAGTTTAAAAAACGGTCGTAGGTCAAATAATTTTTAAAAACTTACCTATTATTAAAGAAGCAATATTTTTAACCAAAATGCACCTGCTTATATCGGTCACATGTCTTAAGTAGGGATGGACGAGATTGGATTTTTAGTTCGAGACGAGACGAGACGAGATATTTTATTTCTCATAAAATTTCGAGACGAGATCGAGACGGGATTTCCCTTCTCATACACAACGGGAAATGCACGTTCGGAATTTTTACCTGATTTTGTAACATTGTTAGATGACTGTTTAAATACAAAAATAATGATAATAGGCAAGAATATTTACAATCTTTTATTAAAAAACATCAGCATAGCATTTTTTTATTAATCACGCCTAACTTATTAAAAATGCCTACGATTAGGAAACATAGTGATATCAGTTAGGATAGAGTTCAACTTATCCTAAAATAAAATAAATCATAAAATAAAATATTAATTTTTATAGAATAGTTACTTGTTTTGACTTTTTTTATAGTAATAAAAAATTCCTCACACTGCTAACACTTACCAATACTTCTCAAATGTTATTAAAATAATATTTACATTTGAAGAATTAATTCAATAAGAACGCCTTCGCAAAGGAAACGCAACTACAACACGCTCCTGTATTGCGGGTATTGCATTGACTTTCTGCAGGCGTTTATAATTTTTTTTTTTTTTTTTTTTTTTTTTAATTCTCGTCTCGATAAAAATCTCGGCCAAAAAGAAATCTCGTCTCGTGTAACGAGATTTAAAATTTCCCGAAAATTTCCCAAAATTTCGAGACTTGACCATCCCTAGTCTTAAGTGAGTTTAATAGGTAAACATTAATTACTTTTTCCTTTTATTCTCTCATTGTAGAGTTTTATTCACTTTAAGGCCCTTATTAGACGAGGCAGCCAAGTTGCGCAGCCAGTCGGCCAGCTAGTCACTGGGCATTGGTTCTTATGGAGCTTATTACACGAGGGCAGCCAGTTGCGCAGCCACTGTTTGGCTGCCGGCTGGTTGCCGAGCCCGGCGACCGCACAGGCAACCACTGGCTGCTCGGTCTGGTCGCGCTCCTGTGTAGCTTACGGATCTTATTACACTGGGCAGCCAGTCGCCCGCTGCCACACATCAGTAGTAGTGGAAACACACCAGTTCACTCGTGGAAGTGTGTTCATCTCATTATCATCTGCGCAAAGTTCGTCAAAAAGGGTGTAATATAATCCTTTTTCTGTTCTTGATGAAAGAATAGGATGTATATGCATTCTCCTCTTCCTCCGTCTTCTCTTTTTCATGAGTAGCAGAAGAAGCAAATATTCATCTCGCATTCTGACAGCGTCTCTCCCCAACAGAACTGTTCCACCAACACTGTTCCACTGTCAACAAGAGACTGGCCCAGTTGGTAATTTTGTGGCTGCTCTACTGGCTGCTCTACTGGTTGCTACGCTAGGCAGCCAGACAGGCGACTGGCTGCCCGGCTGGTTGCGCAACTTGGCTGCCTCGTCTAATAAGAGCCTAAGTGTATGGACAATGGGGGGATAAGCTGTTTATTTAGAAAACTCCAACCCCCTATTTTAAATGTTATAATAATACACATGTCACGGAATTATTTTCTTTCCTCTTACATTAAATAATGTTCTTCAATACAAATCCAATAACTAAGAGTGGGGGGCGGGATTTGCATGCGCATGTTATGTTTTACCCCTTCCCCATCTTATGTTTGAACCCTTCCTCCAACACTATTGCTTTTTTAATTTTGTTCAGTCATCTAAAAATGTTCTTAGATCGATTAAATACATGTAATCAGTAGAAGAAGAGTGGCAGGGAAGTTTTCTGACTCACGCACTACCCCACTACAGGCCATCCTAATTTAAAAAAACTTTACCTACCTTTAGTTTCCTCAGTTAGTAATACAATTTAATGTGCATTGTGCACAACATCAAATTTGATGTTTTCTCAATTTCCCGTCTAATGCCTAGTTTAATCCGTTATGTATATTGGCTTGGTTGTATTACAAATAACAATCTTTTAAAGTAAATAGTAAAAAACATATAGCCTAATAATCTTGTACCGCTAAAGTCCCAAACATGCCAAATTTAGCAAGCATCTTCTGTAAGTCAGATTAAATCTTTGTTAATTCACTGACAAATGAAATTTTAAGCTTAGAATTTAAGGTAACTTTTAAATGTTTACTTTTATAAATCTTCTCTAAGTCTCACAAAGTATCTATCTCCATAAAAGTATATAGCATAACTTTAGGTAATATACTAATATATGGTTTCATCTGTAAATTATTTATCTTTTGCTAAATTACAGTGCCAAATGCAACGACATGTGCCAAAGTTTCTTGTTGAGATCAGTAAGTTTGAATATATTTCTTTACCCTAAATTAATGTGATAAGCTAAATTATATCTGTTCTTTACTATCCAATAACATTATTTCTTTGAGGTAGTTCACTAGTCTGTGTTTCATGAAAAAAAATCCTTCTAAGAGGGTTTGGATACAAACTTCAGCAATTGATAATTAAATCTTAAAAAACACTTGCTCTTTTGATATTATTTGAATTTTTTACTGTCCTAGATTATTACAGGTCGTAAATTTAAATATCAACTAAAGATTCTACAAAGAGCATGAAATTCTTTTTAATTGGTTCTTATTCAAGCCATGATTGGTACATCTGCTATTATGTAGAGATAATTATTAACAACAGTTATTTTTACCAAGTGTGGTTGCTGAATTACCTTAAAAATAAGCATGCCTCAATAGAGAAACTAAAAATAACTTTACAATTTAATTAAAAACTTGTCTTACAATACTCGATAAAACAATAATTGTTCCTTTGACATTGATATCCTCCCCTAATTAAACAATATCCTTTTATTTAGTTTCAGTAAAACAAAGATCTTGAATACACGACAAATATTATAACTACTGCATCTTAACATTTAAATTCATTTAGCACTTAAATTTAACACGTTCAATGTGGCACCGACGTTGGCTATATCACTCGTACGGCTAAAATATGAAAACTCATAATAACTTCCCAAATGTCATTTTGGATGATGATCTGGCGTTATTTCATCAAAATTGAAAATTTTGATGAGTTATATGACGTCATCATTTGTGACAGGAATACTCGTCGTGCACCACATTGTCGGCTGCCATGTAGAACCGTCGCACGTGACACCAAAAGTAATCCTTGGTTTGTGTTGTAAACGGCTGTTGCCGTATCTCCTAGTTCATCTTCAGTGAGAAAGTCATCAATCCGTGAAGAATTAGCCATAATCATTCACTATTGCACAACACTTACGTCATATAACACACAAAAACATACTCACAATAATAATAAAAACCGTGCGCAACGGCATCGACGCCGCCCTAGGAAACACAAAGGACTACTTCATACAGCGCAATGAAAAACATCTTCCTCCGTCGACGGCTTAGCTCATATCGAGGCAATAATTTTGTAGTGGTGCTTTGACGAGTATACTCAAACGTGCGCCGCTTGGCAGCGCCAACACAAACAACGATGACGTCACCCGCATTGAACGTGTTAACCAAAAGTGTCGTGCAGTGGAAACACAAATTTTTTAACCACAAAAATAGAGTAAACATTTATCTTTTCAACCAATCTAATAAATCCTGATATAACATATGTTTCCATTGGTTTCAATTTTAATATAATCAGCTGTTTCAAATAATATTAGAGTAAATTTCAAACTATTCATTTGTTCAAATGTAAACATTTATTTTCTTCAAGGATAACATGGGATCTTTGAAAGCCTCTGGGACAGAGCCCTGATGGAGTTTCAAAAATGTTTTATTTGATGGCAAATCTACGTGCCACGACCTATCTATCTATACCTTAAACAAGGTGATCAGATGCGTAGCAGCTTCAAAACAATTATCACAAAGTTCATGTTGGCCTATTAAATTTATAGATATATAGATGTGTCTATGTCAAATCAATTTTAAAGGCAAGCCAGCTGTTTTCCTTTGTAAAAACTAACAAACTCTTGTTATTGTCCTTTCTATTAATATTAATAACTTGCTATTTGCTAACCTTTATGAGATTTTTTGTTCACAAAAAATGTGTAAATTAGTGCTAACAGTTTAGTTTAGTTTAATTATCTTTGCTGTGTATCCTCAAAATCTAAAGTGATGTTTTCTGTCAAGGGAGGGTGCAATTGCAATAGATTCCTAGTTAACTCATAATGTACCCCTTTACTGTGAGTATTAAAAAGGGTTTTAGATAGTATTTCACATATACATATATACAAATTAAGTTAGAATTGTTCTTCCTATCCCCTCTAGACTTTTATTAATATGATTAGCATGAAATTTGAATTTTTGAAGATTCTAGTGTTTTATTCTATTAAAAATGTGTATTAAATATTGCATTAAGTCTTATTATAAGAGTAAGTCTAGATTAAAAGTTGCACGAATTGATTAGGTTTCAGGTTTTCACTGAGTGGGTACCTTGATGGGTTTTTTGTTACTATTTAAAGGAGGGCGACGAAAGCTTAAACTAATGGTGTGTTAGAAAGTAATTGAACTATGAGGGAAGTTGAGTTTTGGGCCAAGGTAGTGCCTTAGCTAAATTTTTTTTTATTTGTTGCTAGTTATATTTTTCATTGTGTACTGTATATAAAAATGTAAATGAAATGTATACCATTGTTATTACTTATTTCTTCATAACAATTGTGTTAACTCTTCTCGATATTGTTATTATAGAGATTAGTTGAGTGCTAGGAAGAGATGCCTTTGCGTTTCGTTACATTGTTCTTTATTATGTAAATTCCGCCGATTCGTAATTACTTTTACTTGTAATTCAAGATCAGTTATAGTGTGAATATTACCATTGTTCAATCTTGTTATTTGGAAAAACTTGTTCAACAACCAAACCTTTTTATTTTACCTAGGATTTTAATTTAAAACAAAAATTAATGTGACGATTTTGAGGGTTTTTTTGGGGGGGGGGGAATAGAATATATCTCATTATTGAGACAGTTTTTTTTATAATTTGTCCATACATTATCTGATATTAATTCATTGAAACTAACATTTGTTTATTCTATTCTTAACACGTATTGATATTGATACACAATAAAAGCTGCTCTAACTTGTATAAGATCAAGTTTTTTCCAATAATGTGTTTGTATTAATTTCTGTATAGTTCTTGAGTTTTGTTCAAGAGATCTGTTAAAATGTTTGTCATATTTTCTTGACACATACTAGCATCTCCTGTAGGTATTCTGTATTGTTTTGTTACCTGTTTACATTTCGTGCCAAGCCTCCAGACATTAGGTATCGACCACTGTTATAGTAAAGATGCCTTGAACTCGTCGTATTTGTAAATATGTAAATATGTGTGAAGACAAAGCGTTTCCTGAGGAAATACGTCGAGACATATCGTGTGGCCCCCTGCACATCGTGTACTGCCATCTGACATCTACATCTATAATCTACAATCTACAATCTACCCTCTCAGTCGTGAGGGTGGAGTGGCACCAACCCG